CCAATCTGGCTAAAAAAAAAAAAGTCAGAGCATTATGTGCAGTTGTGTTGATCAGTTAGACAGAGTTAAAGGCCAAGTTCCATTGGACCCCCCCTCTGCCCAGCTATGTTCTAATGGGGGATTGGGCTGCATTTGCATAGCGATTGGGTGCTGAAGGGTCACGGTCATAGACATAGACATGATGACAGTCTGATGAAATGCAGGCTTAGCGTGCACTACTATATTTAATTTGTGTACACGCGTGTGTAAACCATTTATTGCAGGGTCCCCATTGAGATGATCATACTTTCTATTCAGCAGGGGCATGGAGAGTAAATACCAAAGTTCTAAACCCTTTCTCACGCTTGCCTAAAAATTATGTATTGGCTGGATGTGGGCTTTAAAGTGACCATCTCCTTTACTCTAAGGCTGGGTTCACACCTGGGCGTACAGAATATGCGCGTTTGCCATGCGTTTTGACCGCGATTTGCGGTAACAAAAAAACCACGCGACAAACGCGTGTTTCCGAGGGCTACCTGGCTGTATCCCAATGGATACGCGTGACAAATACGCCCCAAAGAAGCTCCTGTACTTCTTTGGGCGTGTTTTGCAGCGCGTTCCTACGCGCTGTAAAACGCCCAGGTGGGAACCATGCCCATAGGCAATCATTGGTTTTCACATGTTGAGCGTTTTATAGCGCGTAGGAACGCGCTGTGAAACGCCCAGGTGTGAACCAAGCCTAAAGCTCTGATTATTCACCGCACCCCTGTTTAGTGATTTGTGCCCTCATTGGGCAGAAAGACATCTCTATGGACAGGGGTCAGTCAGAAGTTGAGGCCTCCAAAATGAAGGAAATCTCCCATAGGACACACATTTGGTTCTTCCGGACAAGAGACGTGACAACAGCCAGCACCTTTTAGTTATCAGTCGAGTGAAGGACAGATGGTTTTAGGGTGTAGCTTTTAAAGCATTCCCCACCAATGAAATGAGCATTAGGAATAAAGGCGCCAACGGAATTCTTCTGTGTTTCAGGGAGGAGCTGCCTACAATCTACAAGTGTCCTTACCAGGGCTGCACTGCCGTCTACCGAGGTGCCGATGGGATGAAGGTATGTAAGAGTACAATGGCTGATGCTGCATGCCAATCCTGGAACAGAAAGTGATAACCTGGCTGTGTCTTACAGAAGCATATAAAGGAACATCACGAGTTTTGGGTCCCATAGACATCTCTATGCATTGAAAACTGCACGTTTTTCAAAGAAGAATCGTGCAAACAAAAACACGCGACAACTGCGTGAAAACAGCTCACCAGCTCAAACGCCCAGGTGTGAACCAAGCCTAAAGCTCTGATTATTCACCGCACCCCTGTTTAGTGATTTGTGCCCTCATTGGGCAGAAAGACATCTCTATGGACAGGGGTCAGTCAGAAGTTGAGGCCTCCAAAATGAAGGAAATCTCCCATAGGACACACATTTGGTTCTTCCGGACAAGAGACGTGACAACAGCCAGCACCTTTTAGTTATCAGTCGAGTGAAGGACAGATGGTTTTAGGGTGTAGCTTTTAAAGCATTCCCCACCAATGAAATGAGCATTAGGAATAAAGGCGCCAACGGAATTCTTCTGTGTTTCAGGGAGGAGCTGCCTACAATCTACAAGTGTCCTTACCAGGGCTGCACTGCCGTCTACCGAGGTGCCGATGGGATGAAGGTATGTAAGAGTACAATGGCTGATGCTGCATGCCAATCCTGGAACAGAAAGTGATAACCTGGCTGTGTCTTACAGAAGCATATAAAGGAACATCACGAGGAGGTGAGGGAGCGGCCCTGCCCACATCCTGGCTGCAACAAAGTGTTCATGATAGACCGCTACCTGCAGAGGCACGTCAAGCTCATTCACACAGGTGACTACACAACCCTATAATGATCAAAGGATGTAGATCTACACCTTAATGCGGAGTGCATGCCCACATCAGGGTGCAAGTCTACACTCCCTATTTAAAGCAAACCTGTATTCTGCACTCGTATCACTTACTGAAGTTACTCAACCCTCAAAGTAGGTTGTTTGAAAGCCTGAAACCTGCAGTGCTGATACCTTGTCTGCCCCATGAAGCCCTGTGCGAATTCCAAGTTAGTCTGGGTTAGTACTGATACAGGGCTATGGACCCTCTCACCGACCCCTTGTAACAGCTCTAAGGCCTCGTTCACACCAGATGCAGTGCGTTCTGGCCAGAACGCACTGCCTAGCATTGGGGCCGGCTCACTTTTTTGTGGGGCAGGAGGGGGCGTGGCAGTCCATTGATGGAAAACATTCGTAGTGAGCTCTGCACTCCTTACAGTCCAGTTGTCAGCGGGTGCTTGTAGTGTCCCCGACAGATGGTGCCGTGCATTTATCATATCAGAAGATGTCACCAGCACGCCCATTATGCACTTCACACATTTACTCTGAGAGCAACATCACATAATGCAAGCACTATTTTGATCGGACCGCAGGCATAGTGTGCCTTCTGATCCCGCGCGGCCGATCGCATTGCGGCCGCAGGGCGTGGCTACGGTGCCATTCACTTCAATGGATCGCCACTCCCCCTCCTGCCCCACAACATAATGAGCCGGCTGCAGTGCGTTCTGACCAGAACGCACTGCATCTGGTGTGAACGAGGCCTAAGTCCTGGTTATTATCCTCTCCAGGACACAGTATTCTATCATAGGAGGAAGAGACTAAAAGGCAAATTATTTCCCTAGCTGGATGTACCATAGAGAAGGACAGGCTGCTGCGTACAAATAACACTGCCTGTCTTTCCCGGGAGCGGCCCGATACACCCGTGCACGCAGCGTGGATCTGTACGGCCCTTCCCTGTGTGAAGGAGGGTCAAGCTGCCATATATGTCATTTTTGTTGTTGAGTTTAGTTACACTGTATGAGAAGTCCTATTTCCTGACACCTTACCTGTCATCTGATCCCCAGAGGAGAGGAATTACATATGTGACCAATGTGGACAGGCCTTCAAGCAACGCAAACACTTATCTGTGCATCAGATGAGACACTCAGGAGCGAAACCCTTGCAGTAAGTACAGCAGCCATGCGGATTGTGTAGACAGCTATTACATAAAAGGCATCATTATTTACAGTTCAAAAGATGCTAAATCTGGTAGATCACATGGGCCCCAGGCAGCTTGTGCTTTGTGGGTGTTTTACATCATTAAAGAATGCTGGAAAAGTTTTTTTGTTTTTTTTAATTAACCCTTGCAGTGCGGAGGTAGTGCTCCTTTTGTTTAGGTTACACAAAAAAAAGTTATACTCACCCAGTGCCCTGAAGCAGCTTCTTCTTAGACCGGTCCTTTCAGAGTCTCTCCCCCTCCGCTGCAGTGGTCTAAGGTCCCGTAAATCATCACGTCTATACAGTGTATAGAGTGAGGCCCTCAAGGAAGATTCCAATGCTGCATGGAGGGAGAGATGGGCAGAAGGGGGCGCTGTGACAGCTGGCTAGCTCGGAGCTTTGGGTGAGTATATCTTATTTTTTCCTCCCTAGACACTGAGCACTTAACCCCTGCAGTGCGGGTGTTGCCTTCCCCCTCTATATTTATGGTCATGCTCTTGGTACTACTTTGCTATAAAACTGAGGCATGCTGGGGCTGGCTTCCTTTCCAATCAGGAAGCCGGGCGGTAGGTTATGACCTGCCTCCCGATTGGCTAGGAAGCCGGCTTTACTTGTTGCTTGGCAGCACGTAATGACCCAGCTTCCTGATTGGTAAGAAAGCCAGGCTGCTGAGAAGTGAAGGCAGCTTCCTAGCCAATCAGGAAGCTGGGTCATTACGTGCTGCCAAGCAACAAGTAAAGCCGGCTTCCTAGCCAATCAGGAAGCCGGGCGGCACGTCATGACTCACCTCCCAACTTCCTGATTCGTCAGGAAGCCTTGCTGCCTAGCAACAAGTGAAGCCGGCTTCCTAGCCAATCAGGAAGCCAGACAGCACCTCATGACTTGCCGCCCGGCTTCCTGATTGGTCATGAAGCCAGGCAGCCTCTGCAAGTGAAGCCGGTGTTCTTTCGCTAGAAGACAGGCAATCAGGAAGCCAGGCGATTGGTCATGATCCGCCACCAGACTTCCTGATAATCAGGCACCGTTACTCGGTATCAGCGAGTTCCCAAAAACCAGTATTGGTGCATTCCTATCTATAGCCCATAATGTTCTTGTTCTGCTTTTGTTAAACAAAATGTATATTGTTATAAAAAAAAAAAAAAATCAGTTGGGTTCACATCTTTTCTAGTCCTGCCTGAGACTCCATATCACAGTCATGTTTTCTCCTCTTTATACTTGCCCTAAGCATGCGTAGCTCTGTTACTGCGTAGATTTGTCATGCCCTTTGAGCTGAAAAGTGACGGCATTGTCCATAACACATTCCCATTCCTTCCCGTCAGATGTGAAGTGTGCGGCTTCCAGTGCAGACAGCGCGCGTCACTCAAGTACCACATGACCAAGCACAAGGCTGAGGCCGACCTGGAGTTTGCATGTGACCAGTGCGGGAAACGATTTGAGAAGGCGCACAACCTCAACGTGCACATGTCCATGGTACATCCGCTCACCCAGAGCCCGGCCAAGCCCCAGGAAACCGAACCCGATACCCCCTCAGGGACTATGGAAGCTGTGAAACCAGAACTGGCTCAACAAATGCCCAGCTGAAGACTGGACAGGGAAAAAAAAACCCCCAAAATCTGGAACTTTTCACTTTTTATACTGTTTTTAATTGTTTTGCTGTACAGAGCACAAAGCATCTCCATCAAGACTTCACACAGTGAAAATAAATCAGTCTCTGTTCTTCTGCGGAACTCCTCAATGAACTGGAGACCCGACCAGTCACTGCAGAGCAGTGTCACCATCTCCTCGTACTGTTCTAACATGACAGTATGTAGAGAGGTGGATAAATTATGATATTAACTGATATGAAAGTGTTTGAATAAATTATTTACACAGTAAACGTTGCCAGCTGGTCCTTGTCACGCTCTCTATATACTTCCTGCACAAACCACGTCTGCTCGGCAGCACAGCCACCGCTGCTGTGTGAGACATCATCACACGCACGCTCTTTTAAAATAGATCGGGCTCGTCGTACATACAGTCATCCTCCATGCAGTGTAGTAAATTCTGAAGCAAGCCAGCCAGCTCGGGGTCCTTCTCCTCCCAGGAGCCAACAATCTGCACAGAAAAACAGATCGCACATATTTAACCCCTTCAGTGACACAGCTTCAGAAATGGTTTTCGTTCCTGGGGACCGGAACAATGTTGTGTTTGTTTAAAGGAGAATTATGATAGTGATGGGGGATAAATTGGCAAGAATAGGTGGATAGATATGTTCTGTTGTACAGAACTATTATATATTATGTGTATGGCCTCTAGTGATCCCCTCCTACTACTTGATTATGCTAATGTGGAAGAAACTGTAATGCAATTGTATGCTATACTGATTGTGCATCATGTGCTATTTTATTGTTTTATTGTACTTTGGAAAATTAATAAAATACTTTGAAAGTTAAAAGGAGAATTATGAGGTGAGTGATTTTCACTCAGCCTCATAATCTGAGCTGACCTCTGACAATGAAACTGTCACAGGTCGGCTCAGTATATCGGGAAGTGAGCGAACACATACCGGCGCTCGCTCGCTTCTCGATCCTGTGCCAGCAGAGAGCCGTGACAGTGGAGGGAATGGATTCCCCCCCTCCCCTGTCCGATCCTCCAGCGCTGACTGGCGGAACGGACGGGGGAGGGGGCAGGTACTGCTGGCTCTGCCTCTAGATAGGCAGAGCCAGCTGTTACTCACGCAGCTGGGCGGATCCAGGCACAATTGTCAGGATCCGCTTCAGCTGCGGCGTCTCAGTATACCGCGAGCAGTAGCTTAGGGCTTAGGGTGACGGGAGGACGCTTAGTACTGAGCTTAGGGTGACGGGAGGACGCTAGTTTGTGTCCTCCCGTTACCCTTAGGAGAACTATGGGGAAAAGCCTTAACCCCATAGTTCTCCTTTAACCATAATTTCCATCTTGCTCATTTATTGCACCTACACAGATTCTATACTGGGGTTTTTTTAAAGGACAAAATGGGCTTTAATTTGTGACTTATGCATATTGAAATTCTTTTTTGTTTATAAAAAGCACAAAAACCCACATTTGTCAGTTTTGGCAATAACAATGTGTACATATTTAGTGTAGCTAACAGAGAGTAATTCAAAATAAATTCTTATATCTGTCCTGATTTATATGTATATCATGTCTGGGATTTATAGGTCACAAAATACAAGAGTTGAAATTCAGTTTTAGTGTGGAACAATTTTAGAATGTAGATAGATGAAAGTAGTCACTCGCACTCCATGATATTAAAGTCAATGCTGTTTATTGACTGAGATAACACACATCTCCTTAGCGACGTTTCGAGACCATGCGGTCCCGTCCTCATGCAAACAAACACTCTCTGTTTGCCTGAGGACGGGACCGCATGGTCTCGAAACGTCGCTAAGGAGACGTGTGTTATCTCAGTCAATAAACAGCATTGACTTTAATATCATGGAGTGCGAGTGACTACTTTCATCTATCTACATTTTTACGGAGGCATCCGTTGTCACTACCGCACCCACCCAGTTGGATTTGGGTTTTTGTCCGGTCAGGAGTGCGATGGGACAGGAGGATTTAGTTTCAATTTTAGAATGTGGTATGTTTTTTCTCCTAACTTTAACCACTTGATGACCGCGGTGTTTACACCCCCCTCCCGTCCAGGCCATTTTTTAGTATTCAGCGCTGCGGTACTTTGACATTTATTCTTGCAACGCTGTACTGAAATGAATGTAGCTGGGAATGACAGCTGAATGCGGAAGTGATGTAATATACATCACTTGCTGCATTCTGGCAGCGGAGAGCAAATCAGAGGGAGATCATGTTCTGATCAACCTTTGATCTCCGGTGACAGAGCCGGCGTGCCAGTCCTGGCCTGCACCGGGCATAGCGGATCTCGGGACCAACGGTGACAGTGCGCACAACAGCAGAAAATACAAGCGACCTACAGACGCCGGAACGCTTGTATGCGAATGGCTATTGCTGGCTGTTTACATTTTTGACAGTTTCCTTATGAGTGGGGACGGGGAGGGATGTCTTAAAACGCCCCCCCGCGTCTACAAGCCTCCCGTCCAGCTGTTTAGGTACAGCCAATGGGCAGTAGGTGGTTAATAGACTATCACTATATTTCCTTACCATTTTTTTTAATTTTAAAAACCTTTTTTTTTTAAACTACGGGGCACTAAAGGGTTTAATATTTTCAGGGGCTTTTGATACTACGAATTCTGAGGAGATACTATATTCTCCTCGGAGATACTGTGTATCACTTTGTAATACACTAAGCCGGCTTCCAGCTCCACAACACAGTGAGCTGAATGCCGGCTCGGTGGCTGTCACCGCACGGCAGTCACAGTGATCAGCTACCGCGGTAATTGCTGTGCTGTGACCACCCAGGTTGCTGTTGAAGGTCTGCCTCGGACCCAGAGGGACCCATCAACAGCATTAACTCAATGAGCTGCTGGTCCATGCACGCCTCCCACATGATGGAATTATTCTGTCACCAGTCATTAAGGAGCTGAAAGACCATGATGGAATAATGCCGTCATCGGTCGGGGGGGGGAATTTTTCACCAAAAATGTAAAACTCTGGGCAAAAAATGTATCCCCCCATCTTTTAGCAATGAAAGTTTTTGAGTCAACTGTCATGTGTGCCCCGCCAGCACCTCCTCCAGGACTGGATTGCTGTGATGAAGTTTGTGCTCGCCTCTGGCCGGTGCTCCTGTTGGTGACACCACACTGCTGCAGTTCTGGGGTATGATGGCACTGGACAACCTATGGGGAGTGTCCATGTAAGTTGTCGCTGGTGATCACTTGTCCAGCATGGCCCTTACACTAGGGACAGTGCTGGAGTGTTGAGAAGGCAAGTACAGCTTGGGGCGGTGGTGGGGGGTAACTAAGGAATAAAAATAGACTCTAAAACTATCTTTAAAGGGTAATTCCACTTTCCCAGACGAATTTGGGGAAAATGAAATTACCCCCTCCAATCTGCCCCAGCTCCCGGTGTACACAGCATCGCAGCTCTGTGCTAGGTATTTCAAATTACACTCGCAAATGGTGAACATTCATTGGTCAGCGCGGTTACCTGACCGATCAATGAGTAGCGCTTGTCATTAATTAGCACCGTCAGCGGACTGCACTGGCCAATAAGTGCTTGCCATTTACAAGTGTAATTTGAAATACATAGTGTAGGGCCGGATGCTGTATATGGGGGGGACAGATCGGACACCAGCAGTGTTTGTTCACAGGTAAGAGCAGCGGGGGGGGGAAGAGGAAGCAGATTGATGGGGGTAATTACCCTTTAAGGCAGACACTCCCTTTGAAAAGAGACATTACACACAAAAAAAGCAGATAATATATAACCCTGACTACATATTATAAGGACTAGAGGACGGCAAACCTGCGGCAGGCGACTCCTGAACACAGCGCTAGTCTGTTGGCCCTTCAGAATGCAGCCAAGTAGGAACTTGCGCCCCTTGCTGAAGACGGTTTGCGGATCTGTCTAAAAAGAGCACACAAGTATTCAGTTCAACCTTTCATGTCATGACTTCTACATTGATGTCCACATTGCTGTAATACATACCTGCAGGGGATCGAGAAGAGGGCTACCATCCAGAAAGAGTTGGAAGAGCTGAGTATACATCTCTAGCGAAATGGGTAGAAAGTTCTGCTGCTTGGCCAGACTTTCCACAGGAAGACACTCCGCTAAACTGCAGAAACAAAACACGGGGCGATGTAACCCTAAAAAGTAGGAATGATTACAGTTCCTCTTGCCGGATATAAATTGATGAGCTGTTTGCCATTACTTGGTGTGAATGAGTCCAGAGCTCTGTGTCACTGTACCTTTCCGGTCCCCCACAATGCCCTGCTTTCAATGAAGTCAGTCCCAAATATGCCCTGTTCACACGACGTCCGTTTTCTGTGCTGACCTGATCCGTACGCTCCTGCGCTAAAAATGTATCCCTATGTGTTTTATGGGCTACAGTTCTCACGTGCGCAGTCCGTTCAGGTTACGACAGAAAAATACTGCATGTCACATTTTGTATGGTCCGGAAATGCAAAACGCGTCAAAAACGCACTGCAACTAACATACTGACAGCCCCACTCCAGCAAAAAAATGTTTAAAAAAAAAATTGGAACGCATCAAAAATGCACTGCATCAGTAGCACCGCGTCTGCAGATCTGCACCTGATATCATGTGAACAGGCCCTAATACTGGTACTTTCCTGGAGTACAGCAGGACCAGCCTTTGTAGCGGTACTGTGATAGCACTGTGAGGCTTCCATATATATTTGCATATGTATGCTACGTTTAATAATACAGGAGCGGCTTTAACTCTGGTTCCCTTTGCTAGATCTTCTATTGGAAATACACAATGTTACAATGCAGTTTTTATTGGTTTCTATATTTACCTATTACAATGGCAAACAGCTCCAGGTTGTTGTTCATTCTGCTAGTGGTACCGCCAGGGAGGTGCAGTAAGGTCAGTGGCAGATGAGGCACGCCCCAGCAGAGCGGTCCCCGACGCTGTGACTCAGTCTATGAGGTAGGAGGGGAAAATGCTCATGTGGGGTGTTGAAGGAGCCTGCTTGTCCCTCACCTGCTTGTCCGTGATGCGGCATCTAGATGGATGCCGTCAGGGGTTTTTTTGATTGGAAGGCTTGGACCAATGGAGCTTAGCCATTGGTCCAAACCGTCCACAGAGTTCAAACCTCTGACTCCAAGTCAGAGGCTTGTGGTTACTCTGACCTCACTGCCTTAGGTTACACACAGCAGCGGGGAGGCTTTCCCCGCTGTGTAACCGGTTACAAGTCGCTCTGAATGGAGAAAAAACTGCAAACTTCAGACTTGAAGCTGACGGCTTTTTCTGCCATAATGGCAGGTGAGGCTCTGTCTCACCTGCCTCCCCAGACCGCACGTCCCTGGGTACCACCTATACTGATGTTCCATAATCAATATTCCAATTCAATACAGAAATTCCCCAGCCTACATTTCTGCTAGCCAGCAAAGAGAACCTGCCTGTATTCTATTACTGAAGGGTAGTTCTATATTGATCTGTACAGGGGTCACTTTCTGCTTTGTTGTATTTGGCGCAAACACACACACACACAGTTTCTAGGCTGCCTTGACCTACTCTGCATTTGTATCTTGCTGTACCTTTAAAGGGGGCTGCAGCCACCTCTATGTCAGCTGATCGATCCTAATTTATTCATTGATCCTTTAGCATTTCACCATTTGGGGGCTCACGCAGATTAAAGCTGAACTCCAGGGTGGTATAAAAGACACAACAACGAATGCTGCTCCGTATTCATTCATGTATCATTACATACATTGTTTATATGTGAACAATACAGAAGAGCTTAGACATTGAAGCAGCACACAAAAGGCAGCCAGATGTTCTGCAGTGCTCATGTGCTAATAAGGAACACGATGATAGGAAGAGAGAGCAGAGTGACGAGCTCATCAATGCCTTGCTTCTCATTTCACTGTCTGAGTTGGGGAGGAGGTGCGGCGCGCAGCGTGTGTGGAGCCGTGAACAGGGCCAACTGATCGGAAGCCGATTAATCGATTATTGAAAAAGTTGACAACTTTTTCAATAATCGATTATAATTGATTATGTTGATTAGTTGTTGCAGCCCTAGTGTATATGCTCCACCCTTCTTGTTGGTCAGTACTTCCTGTGTCATGGCCACAGCTAACAGGCCACATGTAACAGGGACACGTGTATTCTGCACAGTACGCTACGAAAGCATCATCTTTTGACCGCATAATACTGAAACCATTCATTCTGCTGTATCCTGTTGTCTGATGTTCAGAATAAAGCAACCCTTGAGGATGAAACGGTATTGGTGAGTTCAGCTATCTGACAATGATTGTCCTCAGTGATTGAATCTGCTTATACAGGCCAGGCATAGAGGACTCAGCCAGGGATAAGTCACTAGCACAACAACCGGAGTCAGAATAGTCCAGACATAGGCTGGGCGAGGGACAAGACCTGTGCTCTTGAACTGGAGCAGAGATGTCTCTGCCAGATTGGGTTGTGCTGTGTGGCAGAGCTGTGTAAATCTCAGGACCGGAATAACAGAAGTACAAAAGTATATCAGTAAAATGAAATACAAAAAGAACCTGCCAAAAAACAAATATAGAAGCTGCCATTCCCGACAGCATGTTCCATGGCTGTCATCCTTATCCCTCCTTCACTACTTAGTGAGCTGCTGACCTGGAACAAGCAAACAGCCAGAGAAGTGTCGGGACACCTGATCTTCATGGCTGTTCCAGTCAAGTAGTGAAGCAAGAATGTCAGCCCTGGAGTATGCAGCTTTATAAAGAAGTCCACAATGGCAGCTCCCATGTATTCATCCTGAAGGGGAAAGATCCTCCAAACGTACCTGAAGAACGCCAGGGGGAGCAACTTCAGAAACTCTTCAGAGACGGACTGATGGAGGTGACACTTATCTGCAAGAAAGGGATTTCAGTCACGCCTTGGTATTTCTGCATGGAACAGAGCGGTGGCCAAGCAGGAATTGTTTGCTATCATAGTGTATATGTTTCATAACTGGAATTCAGATCTTTATTAAAACCTATTATTGAGGCAAAACACCATCTATACCAGGGGCAGGCAACATTGGCTCTCCAGCTGTGCTGAAACTACAAATCCCATCATGCTTCTGCCTCTGGGAGTCATGCCTGTGGCTTGCAATGCCTTATGGGATTTGTAGTTTCAGCATAGCTGGAGAGCCGAGGTTGCCTACCCCTGACCTATACTATGTAAATATCACATTTGCCATTTTTATATTAGTCTTTCTTAAAGTTACTGCAGGGCCAGCTGTATTACAGAGGCCAGTGACCTCTAAGGCAGCACTTTAAATGCCCGTAGGGGGTACCATTGGCATTAGGATGCCCCTTGATGGCTGCTGTTAAGTGCATGGAAACCACATTGGCAACTGGTGTGAAGGAGATCACTGGCCACTTGAGATTATTTCGTTTTTACCTTGGTTCATTGCAGGAATATTACAATTCTCCTAATCCTAACAGCGGGATCTACAGTATATGCAGTAAACTCTCTGTTATCCGGTATTCAACTAACCAGAACTCTCATCTAAACAGAAAAAAAAAATCCCCTGATCTGCGGCATGTATTATCCTGGAAACGATCGTGTGTCTATTTGTCTTAATTTGCTTTTGATTACTGCATTTCAATATCAATATAAAGTCAATACAGAGTTTATATATATGTTTTATGGTATATGTTTTATGGTATGGTATAGTAAGGGGAAGGGCATTGGTTAGACCCATTTTTAATAGTAAGTCTCAAGCAACCAGAAACGACATTTATCCAGAATCTACCAATCCCTGTGGATGGCGGGTAACTGGGAGTTTACTGTAATAATGATTTAAAAAAAAGAACAATATTCCTAAAATGAGTCCTTACTCACGTTTTTCTGGTTTTAGCTGACAAGTGGTAAGCCAGCTCCCTCCCCTCTCCTCCACACACTGGATGGTTTGTATACAATGTTCTAGTGCCACCTTGTGTTCAGCTCCCCCCTATTCAAAAAGAAAACATAACTTCATTTCATCAAAGCTTTGCCATTTTTACTTGATTTTTTTGTTTCAAAATATTTATTGATTTTCAATTAGAAAAAAGAACACAAATGGTTCACACATTATAATGCAATGGCAGAGTATTCGATGCATACAGTACAAGTCAAACTTGAGACGCAGATGCATTGATATACATTATAATGACATCCAGTGCATAACCAAGGGAAAGACAGGAAAAAAAAGGAAGAAAGTCATCGGAGGAGGTAGCGCCATTAGAAGCAAGAAGGTATCACGAGTCCGTGAGCATTAGTTAGAGTTTAAGGCCATCCAACTCGACCATATGGTCACACAAGGATCTGTCACAGGAAGGTAAGATTATACATATCCATGTTGGGGTGATGAAACAGAATCCATGGTTCCCAGACGTCTAGAAATTTAGTGTTAGTGTATTTTTACTTGATTTTAATGAGAGAGGAGTAAAGTATTTACCTTCAGTGTCAGAGGGATCAGATCCACGATGGAGAAGAACAGTAAACAATCCAACAGCTGTAATACAAATGGGAAAACATGAAAAAAGACCGAAATAATCGCTGTACTCGCTGTTTCCTGTTCAGCTTTACATTCTCAGTGAGTGTACTCTACATCTCCCTCTGTGAACTCCTCCTCAATGATCACTCCCTCTCCCAGTTCTTCTTTGCAGAAGGGCCTCTCCTGTTTCCTGTCAGCCGTACTGGAGGGCTCCATCATACACTCAGGTTTAGACCTTCAAGGCTCATGTGCCTCCTCTCTCTTTGTTCTCCTCCCCAGAGTTGTGCTCCCCTTACATACTCTCCTTGGCAGTGTTACATGTTCATCATATATACACTGTATTGACAAAAGTATTGGGACGCCTGCCTTTACACGCACATGAACTTTAATGGCATCCCAGTCTTAGTCCGTAGGGTTCAATATTGGGTTGGCTCTGCCCTTTGCCGCTATAACAGCTTCAACTCTTCTGGAAAGGCGTCCACAAGGTTTAGGAGTGTGTCTATGGGAATGTTGGACCATTTGTGAGGTCAGGTACTGATGTCGGAGGAGAAGGCCGGGCTCGTGTCACTTTGTTATAATACCACTAACAGGTGACCGTGGAATATTTAGTAACAAGGAAAATGTCACGGAACACCTGAATCCAATGATTTGGAGGGGTGTCCCTTGGCAATATAGTGTATGTATGACTCTTGTCTTTCTCTAGTTTTCATTCCTGATTCTGTACACAGCAGTCCTGGCTAGAAATGCTGTCCTGGCCCCATTCATATAGCTGGATAGGGGAACACACGGAATATTCTGCTTAGAAATACTCATTTATAGCTATGATTTTCTTAGACATTGTATGCCCTTTCCAAAGCTCAGATTTTAAAAAAAGTGACATTCTGTTGTATGCGTGCATGTGAAAAGGTCAGAACTAGGTGGACAAAGACAGTATTCCTCTTCTGTAATAAAAAGCCTCCCTGTTTGCATTTTTTTTAATTTTCTATGTAAAGTGTTGCTTTAACTTTCCTGCAAAACACATTACTATCATTTTAAAGTTGATGATTGCAAAAAAAGAACTCTCTATGATTGTTGTGTAGTTGGTCCCTTCCTGCTCTCCACAACTCACTCTTGGACAATGAGAATTCCCATCATACTCTGTACCCAATAGGGAGGTAAGGAGGGCAGCAAGGGACAGGCCACATAGGGACCATCAAAGATCTGGACACATTTTCATTGTTACAGCACCCAAAGATTTTAGTTAGCAGCACACGTTTTAGGGCCAGTTCACACCAGATGCAGTTCGTTCCGTTTGGCAGCTGCATCTAAAATGTATCACAATGCTTTCCTATGGAATTTCTGGCGCTCTGTTCACACCAGTGCAGTCCGTTCGGATGCAGTCAGAAAAAATACTGCTTGCCCTATTTCCGCTGCATCGGATCGCAAGGGAACGCATCAAAAGCGCATGCAAATGCACCTGAAATCCCATTTTAAGCACAAAAAAAACCCAAAAGACATGTCATTCGCTGTACAATGCATCACACTGCAGCTGCGCAGATGCAGGTAATTCTGGTTTGAACTAGCCCTTAGGAAAACCAATTTTGTGAAGGGTCTGCACAGGTAACAGGTAAACTTTAAAGCGGAAGTCTTTTTTTTACTTTCTCCGTGCAGTTTTAGCAGAACTGCTGCTGGTGTTTATGAATAATTACTGCAACCGAGTCTTCTTTCTCTTTTTATGGGCTATTTATTTATTTATTTGTTTTTTGGCTTCAGTTTTGCTTGATATCTTCCATTGTAATGGCGTCTTGAAACTCTCAAGACCTGTTATTCCCTTGTGTTTATAATTCACAATGCTGATCACCATCCACAATGAAAGGAGAGAAGCGATGTATATTATACGGCGCTTCTCCGATAAGCACAAACGGATGACAGTGCTGGGGGAGGACGATGGTATGGGCAGGGTGTGATCCCTATTTCAGCCTCTTTAAGGGCTTGTTCACACCATCTGCAAATTGCCTTCTCTTGCCTACGGACTGTGCTGGAAAAATGTTCGGTGCAGTCCCACCACAAGACAAGGCAATTTGCCTTGTCATGAATGGTGACAGTTCACACCACTGAGTTCTGGTGTTGTGCGCTTAAACAAAATGTGCAGCATGCAGGGATGCGTTTTTTTTTTAAAGTGCACTGCAGTAAGAGGTGGTACAGCCTCATCGCACTGAGATTAGCCTACAGAACTTAATAGAACAGTGAGATGTGGCTTGATCGAGCGCATTGGCACTGTAGGGGAACACGCACACCAGCAGCCGTGGGGTTGAGCATGGCTGCTGGTGTGAAAAAGCCCTAAATGAAATCCTCACCTGCACAGACTTTGAGCTGAAACTACCAAGTAGTTCTGGAAGTCTCTTCTTTGGCACTTTGTTCCTTCTTACGGTGAAATGGAGGAAGGCGGCTGAGAGCCAGATGGTGTCGGTGAGGGGCAGAGCCGATCCACGAGAGAGAAACCTGGAGAGCAATCAAAGAAAAGATTGAATAGAAGAATCGTGATGTGCCTTGCTCCATCCTAGGACGGCCTCTGTGGTAGGCCATGTTACAGTGGAGTGATTACAAGATGGAAGTCAGTCTTCTAACCTGTCCACATCAGCTTGCATTTGCTTCAACGTTTCAATTTCCTTGGGCAAGTCAACTTCATACAGGCAGTTCCACTGACACTTGATGGCTGCATCCAGCTGGGGCCACCACAGCTTCATGATACAAAATGAAAAGCGTTACAACCTTTTCAATCAGAGCTTATGACTGAGTATGGGCTCGGGCGTGTTCGCAGCTCCACGTGCCGAGCCCGCCAGGAAGCTGACAGCGCCAATCACAGGCACTGTGATTGGCGCTGCGCGCTGTCAGCTTCCTGGCGGGCTCGGCAAGTGGAGCTGCGAACACGCCCCAGCTCATCCTTACATATGACTTCACTGCATCAAGGACAAACAATGAGACGTCAATGATCGGTAACAGATTTATGCAAATAAACCACCAGAAAGAGAGAAAATAGTTCTGAAAATGACAATTGCCGGGTTTTTCTCCTCGGGAGAAGCTCATTTGCAATCAAAGCTGCAAAAGAGCTTATTGCTTTATACCTAAAGACACAATGTCAGTTTGGGAGTAGAAAGGGTTAAAACCCATTGGGCTATTTGCTAGCATTGTCCCACTGAGGCAATCTTACTTCATTTCCTGTCGACGAATCAGGAAGTGAGAGGAAATCTCTACAAAAGAGGAAAATTGGCTATTAGTTGTCATCGGAGCAGCTGTCCCCATTGGAAGATATCCTCTCGATTCCTGTTCTGATGATGACTTACAGTTATAGATTGTCCCTTACTTTAGGCCTTGGTGACAGCAGCTGAGTACCAAACACCATCACACAATATGTCTGTGCCTACCCAATCCACCTACAGACAAGTGTCATGGGTTTTCTGAAATTTGTTCTGGTGGTACATCGCGGGGCAATTCAATATATGAATACAGACATTCCTCGGTATACAATGAGGTTACGTTCCGATAAACCCGTCGTAAAGCGGTCGTATTGCAAACTGAGGAGTTGCATATACGTGAGATATTCAACATTGTATTATAAAATACAGTAGGCTTTTATCCATCTGTAGATTAATGTAAGTGTTTTAGCCAAGTTTAAGGTAGGCCAAGCTATGATATATACAGCATAGTAGACTGTAAACTAGTGGTGCACCGAAATGAAAATGTCAAAACCGAAACAAAACCGAAATTTAAAAAAATGTCAGGCTGAAAACAGAAAATGTTTTTTATTTTAACTTTTTCAAAAACAATTGAATATTTTATTTTGATTTATTTTTTATAAACGTTTTAATTTTTTTATATTAATTTATTCATTTTTTTAGTAAATATTTTTATTTATTTTTTTACTTTTAGGGTCTCCGGGGAAATATCAGGGGTGTAAAAAAGACCCCTGATATTTCCCTTTTAAAATAGAAAAAGAGATTGAGGACACAAAGTCCTCAATCTCTTTTTCTGCAGCCCCTGTTATAAATGAACAGGAATCCTCTATACTGAGTGTTCTTGTTCATTGATAACATGAGGACAGAGTATGATTACTATAACTACAATTATGAATGAACAGGAGGTGATGTAGATCACTTCCCATTCATTCATAATTGGGGATATAGTAAACATACCATGTCCTCAATTATTTACAAACACTCAGCGATCACTGATCACCGACAGCTTGTACCCACTCTCCTTCCTGACACGCTGTCACAGGAGGCTGGGCAGGGCAGCGTGGGAGGAGATCTCAGCCTCCTGTGACAGCGCTGGCTGTCCCTGCCCACACTGCTCTCCTCTGATCTGTGACAGGAGGCTGAGCGGTGCGGGGAGGAGAGACGCTGGCCGCTCACAGCACTCTCCTCCCGCAGTGCTCGGCCGCCTGTGACAGTTCTCTCCTCCCCGCTGGGACACAGAGCAGCACCCAGCGGGGAGGAGAGAAAGAACGGATGTGCGGCAGTATGGGCAGAAAATTGCACTTTCAGCATTATGCCAAAAGTGGCATTTTTGGCTGATATGTTTTGGCGGACGATATAGCGGTGCATCCCTACTGTATACATAACCCAAGGCCAAGGAGCACCTGTATACAGTGTACATATGCTGCTATCATATACAATCGTAAAGTCGAAAAATCGCAAACCGAGCAATAGTAACCCCAGGAGCATCTGTAGTGTGTATTGGAGTTTTAATTAACGAGAACTCGTCATCATAGAAATTTGAGAGCGTTCCCCTCTCCCCAGCACCACATCGTCACCATTCTTTCACTCCTCCACCACTCCATTTTGTCAGGAGCAAGGATAATACATAGTACATCAATGTATGAGGGAGCATGTGACCCAGGTCATGTGATAGAGTTGCTGCTTGATGTTTGGACTAGTGTTGCCACATGGGGCAGGGAGAGTACTCAACACTGGAAAAAGATGGTAACTGCATAACATTTATTACCAGCCTATGTAGCAGGGTGCACATGGGAAGGCTGACAACAATACAAAACACAAAAAGATCCCCAGCACACCTGCCAGCTGGCCTGCAAAAAAGCAAATAGCCCTGTCTAACAGCATGCGTTAAAAGCAGAGGTTTTAGTTGCATAAACATTCGGCCAAAAATATGTGGAAGCCACACTGCCACTGTCAAGGCAACCTCTGTAAAGTGTGGTCCTAACTCTATGTATATGAGTCTCCAAGTGTGAGCATATTAATGCAGTCGATAAATTAGATGCAGGTGTACCAGGAGGCCGCCCACTCCTCCTCAGAAGGTCCAGGGACAGAGATTACACAGAATACTCAACACTGTGTAATCTCTAACTGGGGTGACACATGTATGTAAAGCTGTCCTTTACTCCCAGCAGCTGAACTGAGTAGCAAGGGGAGCGAAGGAAAGATGAGTGTGTACAGCAGGGGCATTTAAAAGGACATGTTGCATTGCCCTGCCCTGCATGGGTAAATAATAAGCTTACATTTACAAGTGCTGTCATCCTGATCCTTATTTCACTCCCTCACTGACTTGGAACAGGTATATAGATTAGCTTTGCCAAAACATCGCTGGCTACATACTTGTTCAGGGTCAGTGAAGCAGTAAGCAGTGCACCAGACCTGGTTTTTCTGTCTAGACAGGTTCCCTATATCTGGTATTTACATAACAGGGATGGAATCAGCATACCGCAGCGGAGGTCATCATGATGGGGCAGTGTGCATAAGCAGTAGTGAGAACAGAATTCACCGCTTCTTCAGGATCTTCACACTGAGCACTGGAGCTCAACAACCCCTGCAGAAAATGAAAGAGACTCCATCAATATTACTGTCCAGAAATCCATTTTTGGGAAAACCCCTTCTACCACTCTAGACCCTTGGTTCTCAACTGGTGGGTCGTGACCCAAAAGTGGGTTGTGACCCCGTGTTCAGTGGGTCGCCACATGCCTTCCACTTTACTAGGTGGGAGGCTGGTACAACACTGTTTTTTCTTACAGTGAGCAGCCATTCAAAATATGCTGCCCGGCTCCGAGTGTTTACTTGAGGTGGGGTGGGCTGGGGGTATGGCCACAAGGGAGCTCCATCCATACATGCAATGCTTATAGCTCCCTCGCATGTCCTGCAGAGGAGCCTGGACCGGAGTGACATCACATTCCGGCTCCTGGCACCTCTACAGGGTGCACATGGGAGCTGTACAAGCAATGCACATATGGATGAGGCTTCATCACAGCATAGCAGCCCACACCGTCGTGCGTTCCACTGTAGTTTGACTTGGGTCATGACTTAATGATCAAGGACAAATGAGGGGTCCTGAGATTACACAGGTTGAGAACCACTGCTCTAGACGACATCGGGTCCAGGAGCAGTTCAGCCCAAGGTCACCTGAAAAATGTCCCTAAATAGCATTGATTGCAACTATCTGCGCGGGGGCAGACATATTCCCCGCAAGCGCACTTCCACGTTTGCCAGAGATCCCACGTTGGAAACCTTGCAACCCAACTGATGTCATTCTATCCAATTCAAGACTTGTATTGTATGTAAAAAGATTATTGAGATCAGATAAGACTACACCTAGACGGATCTCTCCCGGATCTCTGCTATCTCTATTTTATTCTCTCTCCTTTTCTAGAGGAACTCTCTTCCCATATAGGTGTGATGGTCAGGTGTCTGCAAACTTTTACCTTCAGAAGCAGTAAAATACAAAGTGTAAATAATGTGACAATAAAAATGGTTTTACCCTGAAGAAGTGAGCAGTGAGGTCGTACGGTAGGGCGTATCCTCGCGGACTGATATTTTTCTGCAAGACGGAAGAAAAGAGAAGACGTACTTCAATCCAAAGTTGACCCAGAGATGGCAATTTACCAAATAAACACAAAGCTAGAAACTCACCAAATGCTTGCTGACAAACTGAAAGAAGTCATCCGCTTTGAGTGTAGTAAGGCCTCTGTCAGAGTATGGTGTCACCAGCAATGAAGAGGGCAGTCCCAGGACAATCCTGTACAAAGTTACCAATGTCTGTGAGTCTCCTGTAAAGCTGGCAAAGTGTATGTGTGATATACATTCCTGACGAGCATGCCCACTGATATGTACAGCCTCTAGTATTGACGACATGGACCAGTACTGCATCTCTCATGAATTGTGAAAGCCGGCCGGCTCGCCATTTTCAAGAAATACTATTATAATACAGGATTTCTATAGCGCCAACAGTTTGCGCAGCGCTTTACAATATAAGGAAGACATTACAATCACAATACAAATCAAGACAAGCTTACAATCTAAAAGGGAGGGGAAGTGATACATGAGGCGGTAGCTGTGTGGGGATGAATTGTTTGAGAATGGTTTAGTGGTCAGGTTGAGGTGGGATAAGCTTCCCTGAAGAGAGGAGTCTTGAGGGATCGCCTAAAGGCAGTCAGAGTGGGAGATACTAGCAGATGTTCCACTTATTTTTCAATTCAGCATTTCAGCTGAGCGTGTATCATCATCGCAGGAATACAGCAGCTCCTGTGAAAATGGGTGGCAAGCTCAATGTACCATGCATCCTAGCTTTTGAGCAGGATGGCACCGAATACTCAGAATGCTACTTTTTTGGCCAGACCTTACGGAAGCTGTGGTTGGCTGGCAGATATGTAATTTAAAAGCAGCTCAATCTCTCTACACTGCACCATAAGTTGTAAATTACTGGAGCCCCTGACCTGCAAATTTTATTATTAAGATGAACTAACCGTTCAATGCCCAATTAAAATTTCATTTTTAATGCGCTAAGCACATTTCAGGTGCATCAAAACAAAAGGTGTGCAAACTCTTCCAGTCTGTTGTCCTTAGAAAGCAGCAAGTTGAGTAGAAATGGCTGACCCCTGCATAGAGAGGCATTCTTGCTCTCAGGGTGAAAGCTGTGGCCTCTCTGCAGAGATCTGACTTGCCCCTGCTGAGTCAGCGCTAAAGCTCTACAATCAGCAGGGAACATGAGCTATACTGATTTCAGAGCTATAGTTCTGACTCATCAGTTCATAGGGTTTTTTTTGCCTTCCTCTGGATCAACATTGGGTAACTGTGGGCATAGTGTTCTGTTTAGGCTTTTCTTCTTTTTTTTCCCCATATCTCTATAGGTTCAACTCGATGGACATGTGTCTTTTTTCAACCTGACTATGTAACTATGACGGACCTCTGCAGAGAGATCACTGCTTTCATACAAACAGCAAAGGTCCTTCTCAACAGCATTAAGTCAAGGCGCAGGCTTTTATACTCAGGCTGTGGCTGCTTTGAGGCTGCAATACTTTGCACACCTTTTTCACTAATGCACATGCAATGCATGTAGCTGACAAACCGAAATCTCTGGTGAGCTTTAAATTAGTCAGTAAGCTATTGTCCAGGAAACGCTGCAACCACATAATTGATTGTAATCTGTGTTTTTCAAGTAATTTTACTAGGGCTGTGGAAATTAAAGATTAATTTCTCGATTAATCGTTAAACTTTTTGATCGATTAAAATTATTTTGATCGCTAATGAAAACACTCAACTCTCCGCCGGCTTCCAGGAGTCCTGTCGGCGATGTCCGTGACATCAGCAGACTCCTCCCCCCTTCCCCAAGTGGCTCCGTCGGCTAACAAAGGGAAGGGAGAGGAGTCCGGTGACGTCGATGTCCGTGACGGCTAACGAAGGGAAGGGAGAGGAGTCCGGTGGCGTCTATGTCCGTGACGTCACCGGGCTCCTCCCCCCTTCATTAGCCGACTGAGCCACTTGGGTGGGGAGTTTGCCCAAGAAACTTTCTACACGAGCGCCAGCCAAGGCATTGGCCTATACACATACAGCACAGCAATGAAGTAATAAAATTAACTAGGATCACACTAATCCAGCACGTTATTATTCTGAGTTGTCCCACTCAAGCGGCGGCCATATTGAGTGGGGCATGTGAGATTAATAACATGCTGGATTAGTGTGATCCTAGTTCATTTTATTACTTCATATCTGTGCTGTATGTGTATAGGCCAATGTAGTTGGATCTGTATGTGCGTTATAATTAATCGAAATTAATCGATTAAAATTTTTCTCGATTAATCGAACACGAACATTTTAATCATTACCAGCCCTAAATTTTACATAGTCTGTTAAGGCTAGATGAAGCGTGACCCTAGGGGAATCTGCAGCTTCTTGGCCATTCATCTTCAACACCACTTGTCAGTGACCGCAGGCGATTGAATATTAATAATGATAATTAAAGCTTGGACAGAAATTAAAGGAACTTGCCCTTAGAGAAATAAATATGCAGTGACAATTCTGTTCTTGAAAAATGTTTGTTAACATCATTTTTGAAATGTTTGACTAGACATAGAAGACACTGGCCATTATTCCTGTATAAGCATAGTATATCAACATGGTTGATGAAAGTTATTCAAGTTGATTATTCTTTGGTCCTGGCTCACAGTATTAGTGTAGCCAATAAGCTGTATATGAAGTGGAGTTACCCTTTAAATGCTATCTTTTCACACAAAGTGAAGAAAGCCATACCTGCAGCACATGGTGAGTTTGCATTGTCTTCTGAGTTGGGCTCCTATCTCCAGGCTGTCTGAATCCTTTGTTAACTTGCGATGGAACACATCAAGAAGGAAATTACCTTGAATGTTTTTTCCCGAGTGACTCAAGAAGTCGCAGACCAACTCCTAAGTAAAAAAACAAACGGGGTCTCATATATCAAAGCATCTGAATTATCTGTTCTATGCAAAGCAGCCAATTAACTTCTTCCTTTTATTATCCACCGCTCCTTAGCTCTTGAAGGAGGCTTTGGTTGCTTTGGGCAATTGACCTATCGTAGTTTAGCTGCAGGTAAAATGGATGCAACTCTGTTCCAGAGTTCATACCAATTACTCTCTATAGGTTGAACTCGATGGACTTGTCTTTTTTCAACCTGACTAACTTTGTAACTGATGACAAGCTCTGGCTGGATTGCAGACCTACCTGTAAACGGCTAAGGATGCCATTGAGGCCTGTGCGGCCATGAGATGGATGACTTCCAGGACCAAGGTCACAACTGCAATACAAAGTGAAATACAGAACTGGCCAAATAAATACGTTATTTATATAGAGAGCTTATTTCAGCTCCAATGGGTTTCAGGCAAAAATATAAAACAATTTTGCTAACATTTTTGCCTATAAAGGTCATTAGATTGTTTGATCAGTTTCAATCCTGTGAAGGGCAGGTGCTTAGATACCCACCACCAATTTAATAAAGTTAATTTAGCGCCCACAAAACAGGCGGGGCAATGGCAAGAAATCTGCAGAAATAAAAGCACTGAACTCCAGCCTTCCCTTCAGTCTTGCACAGTTGTACCGGTTCCTTCCTGGACTGAAATTTTTAGTCTTGTGAACTTCCCACAATGTGAATTAGAAGCTGCAGCAAGTCAGATAGAGACCCTGCCTCATATCCTGCCTGGAGGCACCTAGCTCTGTCCTGCCCAGCCTCATATCCTGCCTGCAGGCACCTAGCTCTGTCCTCCCCAGCCTGACTATCCATAGTCCGCCCCTTTTATTCATTGGACTTCAGTTCTTTCAATCATGGATGCTTAGCATAACATGTGGGCATTACCTGTTTTCCCTGCCGGCCTTTCCCACCAGCCATGTTCTGTTGCATTGAATAGAGAGGCACAGAGAACCAGTGATGATGTCACTAGGTCTAAAATCAGGTATATATTGAAAACAGAAGTGGTTTTATAATAATTTCATTATCATATTGATGGGGGCGGGGGGGCAGGCAAGGCAAAATATAAGCAGATTAAACTTCAGCTTTAAATGTTGTCACCCCATTTATACTTTGCAGTGATATAGCACAGCAGGGATCACAAGAATATAAATGCTGTATGTGATTAGTTGTGTATTTAGCTATCTGACAGGGGTCAACCATTAAAGTGAACCCGAGCTTTGGCCATACAGAGCGCTGGTGCTTGGCTGCTCAGGTACCAGTGTCATAACAGGGGGCGGGGACAAAGTCTTCAGCTACCCCAACATGGCAAGAGTTAAGTGCTACTTTTTGTCAGTGGCTGAAGTAAAGCAGATTTACTTACCCGATTCTCGCTCCTGCTGGCTCCCTCGAGACTGCTAGACTGGTCCCCGCAGCCTCTTGTCCCCTGGGCTCTGGTGGTCTAAGGACTGCTGACATCATAGAGTCTAATGCAGGTTTTACATGCCTGCATTAGAAGTCAGGACGTGGAGGGACATTTCAGCAGAAAAAGCACAGGGGGAGAAAAAAAGACAGCACTCACCACCAGGGGAGCGGATTCAGGCAAATCTGCTTTCCTCCAGCCCCTAGACATAAGAGTACTTAACCCTTGCAGTGCAGGAGTAGCCCCTTTATTTGTTTGCCCAGAGATAGGCTTTAAGTATCTGAAGAATATCTGTAAAAAATAAGTCAAGGCAACTGGACTTGCTGTATGAAAGATGTTTCACTTGTCATCCAACCAGCTTTCTCAATTCAGAATGACTTGTACAAAATTTATTTGGGAATAAATATGGTGAATGTTGCTCTAATCCAGGGGTGTCAAACTCAATTTAATCGAGAGCCGCGTCAACATTATGGTTGCCCTCAAAGGGCCTGTAAAACTATATAAATGTATCTAATCTTTATCATAATTGCCTCTGCATTCAATCACTGGTTTTAGTAATAACTTAATACCAAGATCTGAAAGTAAAAGTCTAGGAAATGGCCCGGTGGGCCGGATTCGGCCCCTGGGCCTTGAGTTTGACACATGTGCTCTAATCAATTCCATCCATTCACCATATTTATTCCCAAAGGAATTTTGTACATGTCATTCTGAATTGAGAAAGCTGGTCGGTTGTCAAGTGAAACGTCTTCAAGAAAAAAACCGCAAGTCCAGTTGCCTTGACTTATTTTTTTACAGATATACCGTGACCTGGATGAATGAGAACCTTCACACACATATCTGAAGAATGAACTTACCCAGCGCTAAAATCTAAGACGGCATCAACTATTGTTGAACAGGCCTTTTCCAAATTGTTTCCACATCCACCAATAGCAGAGGATTTGGGGAGAAAAAACTGTTTGACTGCCCATCGCTGGTAGTCCTGCCTGGAGAGAGAACAGCATTCTCAGTATAATGAAAAGTTATCCGATCATTCCTATTCATGTAGTCAGACTCACCTCTCCATGTCAGACAGAGGATCTACGTCAGGATTTAGAGACATCTCCCACAGCAGCCAGTCCCTGAATGAAAGCTAAAACAGCAGATTACTACATGAAACAAACCAAAATCATCCATGTGCTCTGACAAATGCTAAACGTTGACCACTCTTGTACATGCACCAAGATCATGGCGTTAGATAAGCCTGTCACTGAAAACGCCAAGCCGTACCTGGAATAAATCCTTTTTAAAAAGTTCCTGCACACATGTCTGGCGCCATAGAGAAAGTGCAGCTTCTTTCCATTCTGGGGAAGGAAGGGACAGGGCACTGAAAACAACCGTGGTGTCCATCTCTTCCTCTACCATGCCTTCCCTCCTTGTTTCCAGGACCAGTCTGGGCAGAAGGTGCTGTATCTGTCAATCACAAAGGAACAGAATACCTTACAGCGTATCTAATAGCCAAGAACAAAAATGTAATATACTGCAGATTACTAGTCCTTAGAAGTGGTGGATGCATTAGTCCCTGTTCCCCCATGGGGAAGCATTTGTGTACTTGCTCATACATGGCAGTGATGGTGATTGGTTGCTCAGGCCCCAGTGCTGTCACATGAGGGATGGGAGAAAGTACGGGGAAGCATTTGTATACTTGCTCATACATGACAATGCTGGTGATTGGTTGCTCAAGCCCCAGTGCTGTCACATGAGGGTTGGGACAAAGTACGTAGCCCTGAGAAAGCTCCAGGGCATTTTTATTTCCTTGTTCCCGGCAATATGAGCAAAGTGAAGAGGGGTGAACGGAAGGTGGGTATATGTAGCTGGAAAGGGGCGCAAGTTAAAATGTATCTAAACCTGAAAACAAAATGTGATATATTGCAATGTACCGATCCTTAAATGTGGTGGCTGCATTAGTTTCTTTTTAGCCATTTTCCCTTTCCTTTCATCTTTGTTGTTTTACAGTTTTATTAAACCATATTGGTTTAGTCTTTGATCTTTTATTTTTGCTCCCTAAAGGTATACACTTTGAAGTAGCAGTATGTACTGTGTTTTTAAAACAATCCCACATCTGGTCTGTGTTTAGGTTTTGAAATAAGTTTTCCCATTTTATTTCCCCCACTAGGTTGCGCAGCTTATCAAAGTTGGCCCTTCTGAAGTTTAGGGTTCTAGTCCTTCCAGTACACTTCCCTTTTCTGTGTTCAATATTAAAAGTAATCACATTGTGATCACTATTACCCAATGACTCCCCAACACATTTCCTGTCCTGGGGTGACAACGCTCATCCACTCTATCTATGGAGGAACAGTGTTGTCACCCTTTGACAAAACTACAGAACACCTGATAGTACAGAATTACCTTGCGCATGAACAGTGGAGGGAAAGAGTCGGAGGATGCATCTGGGGAAATGGGCGAGAACCTGCAGCACGCATAGGAAATGGCCCCTGTACAGAACCTGGAAGAAAATCATGACATGATCATGTGTGTCTGAAGAAAGAGACATTAAAGAATATCTAAAGCCAAGAACAAAATGTAATGTTGCAGCATACCAATCCATAGATGCGGTGGCTGTATTTGTTTTCTTTTTCGTTTTTTTAATTGCTTTATTTGTACCTGGTGATCCTGCCAGTAACACACTTCCTGTCCTAGGGTGACAACCCTCACTCACTGTACTGTATTAAGAAAGAAGTAGGGTTGCCACCCTATGAAAGGACTACAATAGACGGGAGGGGTTCAGCAGTCCTGAGCAACCTCGGTACTTCTATCTGTGGTGAAACCACATATCCCATCATGTCTGTGACACTCGGGGGGGTGTCATACCTGTTGCTACAAGAGTCTTGCAGCGTCTCATGGGACTTGTAGTTCCACAACAGATGGAATGTTGAGGTTGCCTACGCCTGCTATAGAGTGTTACTCGAGTGACTTGAATCTCCTGGGTCTTTGTAATATCCCCTTCGCCCATCGTACCGATGTACCCCAAAATCCAACGGGTGCTGGAACAACTGGTGGATGGCGACACAATGTACGTCTAGAAGATATGTAGTCCGCACACCATTCTGCTTCGCAATGTCCTTTTTATTTGTATTCCTTTAGCATGACATGTGAATGCAACGTTTCGGAGCCTCACAGGACCCCTTCGTCAGGCAAAGACAAAGACACTTTGCCTGACGAAGGGGTCCTGTGAGGCTCCGAAACGTTGCATTCACATGTCATGCTAAAGGGATAAAAATAAAAAGGACATTCCGAAGCAGAATGGTGTGCGGACTACATATCTTCTAGATTGAATGTCCTGGGGCTGCTGACGCCACATCCAAGTTGGCAGCGCCCAGCAGCAGTCCTAGAGCTTTCGCAAGTAAATAAGGTGCCTAAAATACAGTCAATGCTCATATAATCTTATGGGAAGCTTTTTGTTGAAATGAACAATGTGGCATCAGGGTCTCTTTAAGCAAGACTGGCTGCTAAACAATGCATTACATCACACATTTAAATATAATGGCAAATATACGAGTAGGTAAAAGGGTTGTGATACAATGGACTAGCAAGTATGGATTCCATGCATTATATGGTATGCGGCATCTCCCCTTTTCTGAACTGTTTGTAGGCTTACCTGAGAACTAAAGGAAAAGAACCTGAACATTGCAGTTTTAGCAGAGCTTCCCAGAACTTGTCCAATGAGGGGGCATCAGAACTTGGGGACTCCAGGGACTTTCGACACTCATGTAAATGGACTGAGAAAGCAGCAAGTCCTACTACATGGGCGTCTTTCAGAAGTGGAGCCTGGAATGAAACAGGACAATACAAGTTAATACAGTAAAATGTAAGAATTTCCAAGAAATAGGAGATCTCTTATCTGTTTGTGGACCTTTCACACAGAACTTCCAGTGGCTTACAGAGACCTGGAGCTGAAATGTTAGATTACACCTGCAATACCACCTACTGGTCATGTGACTCTACAGTACAGTGTCCCCTTGGCATTATGGAGCACAATCCCTATTATTGCAGGGCAGACAGTGGCAATCTCTTCCTCCCACTGACCCAGCACTGATTTTACACACCAATTAATACAGCTATGTATGTAATACAAATTGTTAAACATATTATGAATTGCAGCTAGTGTAAGTACCCGAATCCTTCTTAAAATATGTGCACACTGGTGCACAGAATAGGAAAGGGAGAGCCGGTACTTGTGGCAAATCAGATGCTGACTTTGTGCACATGTGGCCCCACAGCTGCTCCATCACCATAATGGACAGCTTCACTAAGAGTGAGGGCCAGGAGGAGGCAGAAAAAAAGGTCTTGCCATGTTGTGTAGACTGCTTTATGCTCATGAGCTAACCAATGGATGTGTATATGGGAAAAACAATCCTTTAGGATCTATCTGGACCAATCGTAAGCCCTATAAATGTGTATATAGGTATTTGTTATTAAACGTTTCACAATGTTAAGGATTGGTCTCTACAGGACTAATTATGCATCTACAGTCATGTAGACTCACCTGATGACACAAGAGCTGCAAGATCCTGGTCAGCAAAGCAAAAAGGGCCCTACGATGCCCAAACAGCATCTTCACATATAGGGTTGGCCATGGTCCCTGGCTATTGAATAAGAAAAGTGTTTTAGTAACAAGGTATGCGACATATGCCGATACTATTTTACTAGTAACTCATGCCAAGTAAAATATATTGTCTTTACTTGTATATATACAGCTTTCATATAATATTAAGTTATTTCACATCAAGCAGATGTCATCCTAAATAGAAATTGAATTCATTTATATACTACATAGCCAAAGGTTTGTGGCACCTGACTCTCACACCTACAGGTGAAACTCGAATAATTAGAATATTGTACAAAGTTCATTTATTTCACTAATGCAACTTAAAAGGTGAAACTAATATATGAGATAGACTCATTACATGCAAAGCAAGATAATTCAAGCCGTGATTTGTCATAATTGTGATGATTATGGCTTACAGCTCATGAAAACCCCAAGAACCCCAAATCCACAACCTCAAAAAAGTAGATTATTACATGCAATCAATAAAACAAGTATTGTACATAGAACAATATCGGACCTCTGAAAAGTACAAGCATGCATACGTACTCAGTACTTGGTTTGGGCCCCTTTTGCAGCACTTACTGCAATTACTTTTGCACGATATTCTAATTATTTGAGTTTCACCTGTATATGAGCTTGTTGGGCATCTCATTTCAAAACCATGGGCATTTTTTGGGATCTGCGATCGTCCAGGAGGGCACAGACAGTAGTAAAAATGGACAGAGGTTCTTATCTTTCCCCACTCTAGCCAAACATGAAAAAGATTTAGGGTGGAGTTAGATTTTAACAGTTTCCATCCAATGTGAAAAAAACATCACAGGTGTATATATGAGCTAAATGTTTTCGACCACCTGACTGTCACATGTACTATATGGCCAACTCATGGAGTTCTGGTGTTTCCAATGAAGGGTGCTGTTAATGCTACAACATACAAAGACATTTTAGACAATTGTACTCTTCCAACCTTGTGGCAGCAGTTTGAGGAAGACCCTTTTCTGTTCCAGCAGGACTGTGCCTCTGTGTACAAATCCAGCTCCATAAAGACATGGCTTGATCCTACACACCAGAGTCTTGACCTCAACCCTACTGAACATCTTTGGGTTGAATTGGAAAGCCTATTGTAAGCGAGGTCTTCTTGTCTAACATTAGTACCCGACCCCAGAAATGTTTTGGCTGAATGGGCACAAATTCCCTCAGGAATGCTCCAATATTTTTTAGAAGAGTGGAGGCTGTTATAGCCACAATGACTGACCAACTCCATAATACCCATGGATTTGGAATGGGATGTCCAACACATTTAGGTGCCCACAAACAATGAGCCATATACACTTATATTATACTATAATATATTTGTGGGTTACCGATCAGGTGGATTTGTACTGGAGGCTGCCATGACACAATGGCAAAAGGATGTGAGGAGTAAGTCAGACACCTGACAAAAGAGAAATAGGTTAGGTAGGCCCATGGTGTGCAGACAAAAAAAATTAAAAAAATAACTTAAACTCACCGTCAGTTCCTGTGGCTCCAGCTCTTCAATTCTACAAGAAAAAAGTGGCTCTGAGATCACAGAAATGGTGTTTGTACTACCAGATCCCATCACTGCCGTCAGCCTATCCGAAATCACAGCCACCTGGGATGAGACCTCTGGAAAAGAGTTCAATGTAGTAGTCAGTGGACACTGTCCCTTCACTTCCTGCCCCAGAGACACAACCAGAGATGAGAGGGGATATCTCCAAAGTGAGGAGCAAATCTCCACTCCGACAGGTCTACTTCCCACAGGTTCAAATGTAACATCTGTCTGTCAAATTAATCCCACTATGATAGTTAGAAGGTTAAGTAAATAATCATTTACAGAGAAAACTGGATTATGTTTCAGCCGCTGAGACGCTTTAGGCCGGGTCCGAAAAGTTTTTTATACAGGGGTTTCTGAGGATGGGCATGCCCCAGAGGGGGAAGTTCCATAACAGCCTGGCCTCAAAAGAAGCGGGTTACATGACGCTGGGCATCATTGAACCCAGATAAGGAGTAGCACTGGATTGGGGAGTAGTGAGTCTGGAGGGACAATACCAGAGAACAGCTGAGCATTGCAGCCAAAGCTGCCTTTTTTCTGTTTCAATATCTAAATAAAAGTCCACTTTAACAGACTTTAGTACTTGAGGCACAAGAACATATATGGGAGGGACTACTTTATAAACACTGTTATAAAGTGCTGCATATTACATCAGAGTAATAATAAGTTATATAAAAGTCAGGTAGTAATGGCCCTCCTAAGCACCTTATTTCTTTTTGGTAACTTTCCTTTCTCCGGGAGCCAAGAAATGTTCTTCATTGGCAGCCAAAAACTTCAGTCCGCCAGAGTCAGGACCCAAGAGGGTGCCCCATGTATGCTGATCGTTTTCCCCCTAGCCAGGTATACTCACCAGTCCAGGCTCCTTCACTGCCTCCTCAATACACTGCCGTAATAGAGATAGGCTTCTGATTATAGGAAAGCATGTGACCTCCACTATGTACTTGGGCCTCAGTTGCCAGCACTAAGACAGTCAGGTGGGAGGGTTGTATAATGTCATCCACCCAGATAGGCTTCAACACTGTAGGTTGCTGACAGTGGTCTTCTGCAGTAAGAAGGTGGCAAGGGACTGCTGATGGGTAAGCTTAGAGGGTGCATTAATAGCAGACAGAACCGCTTTGCCCTTAATCAGCTGATTTCAGTGTTTTCATTTTTTTAAGTAGTACTAATTGTACACACAGATTTTAAAATGTTACCTATAGTTGCCACTTATCACCCACCATCATATCGCTTGCCTTCCATGACATATGGTCTCAGCTCCCAAAGTGCTGCCTGTAACCTCGCCATGGGCTCCTCATTCAATGACACATCCATCTTCTCATTGCCTAATGGATCATAAAAGTAAACATTTTATAGATTCTCCATGTGGGGAGGGAGATCCATAGCAAACAGCAAGCATCCGTCACAACACTTATTGTATTATTTAGTTAGGGGGAGGGAGTTGGTGATGGAAGTACAGCAAGAGTAGCACATAACATAAATTATTAGATTGATTTTTCAATATTAATGAAAGAAAATAAAAAGTACACCGAAGATTCCTGGAGTTCAGCATTAACCCCTTCATGACTGAGGCCTTTTTTTCATTTTTTACACCCATGTTATATTCCACATTTTAGGCCTGAAAATGACTTAATGACCCCCCAAACATTATATATTTTCTGAATGCCAAGACCCTATAGAATAAAATGGTGGTAGTTGCAAATTTTTATGTTGCGCAATATTAGCGCAACTCCTTAGTAAACACCAAAATTTAGTGAAAAATGTAATTAAATGCCCCAAAATACAACAAAATACCCATTTTTTTAATGAAATATAAAAGATGAGGTTACAACGAGTAAAAACGATACCCAACATGCCCAGATTACAAATTGCGTGCGTCCGTGAAACGGCAAAAAACTGCAGTACCCCAAAAAGTCCACAGAAGATGCTTTAAAAGCCCCCACAGGTCATCAATTTAGAGATACCCCAAAATACTGGCCCTAGAATTATTGCTCTTACTTGGGCGTGCGCGGCGATACCCAACATGTGTAGCGTCTTCGTTGTTTTCATTTTTTAAAGTCCCCCGCTCGCGGGGGACTTTAAAAAATGTTTTTACATTATTATTATATTTAATTTTAAAAACTGTTTTGTTTATTTTACTTTACTTTGACTGCTATCACATAGGAGGGCTTACAAGCCCCCCATGTGATAGCAGATGGTAGTGACAGGTACTCTTTAAGGTGATGCTGGGGGTCCAAAAGACCCCCAGTGTCACCTTTACACTAGAAATAAGCTATTGAAGTGCAGATCGCACTTCAATAGCTTATAGCTGGGCTGCAGGAGCCCAGAACTGACAGCCCAGGGACCGGAAGTGATGCAATCTACATCGCTCCCGGTCCCATAGAACGAGGAGGGGATCGATGAACGGAAGTTCGTCGATCTCTTCCCCAGCTCCCCGCCGACACAAAGAAAGCCGGTCCCGGTCCCGTAGGAGGGGCAACGGAGCCCGGGAAGCACGGCGGGGGGGGCGTCCCCTTCTACGGGACACAGAAGCGATCTGGCGACAGGTAAGCAAAAGCCCCCGGGAGTCTATTTAAACAGCCCCGATGCTGGCGACGTACACTGTACGTCGTCAGTCACAAAGGGGTTAAAGGGTTTACACTTACCCCCGTCTTCGCTGCGCGCTCCCGTCCGAGAAAACGAAACTGACTGCGTGGCCGCAAAGCATCTTGGGGCGGGTGCATGCGCAGTTCGTATTTTCAGCCGGGAGACGAGCAGAGACGCAAGGTAAGTCTATGTACGCGTGCACCCGCATGCAGACTCCGCTGGATCGGAAGTGCCTGCAAGGACAGAGGAGTCAGCGCTGGATCGGAGAGCCGCCGCACCGCTGAAGAGACTGATTAAAACATCAGCAAAGAAGATCGGATTAAGAGACATCATTTAAGGTAAGTGCTAACATTAACATTGGGGGGAGGGAAACATTTTTTTGCCTTTAATGTCACTTTAAATCTTCACGGAACCCCGGTTGCATGTTGCCAAAAGTTCCTATCCCAGCTGTTCCCACCAATAATTGCAGCGAAAAATCAGGTCTCCTGCTCTGCCAGACAGGGCTGTGCAGAACTGTGAAAATCTCAGGAGAGGAGGGACAGAAATACAAATCTTTTGGCAGGTAAAGCATCTCCAATATACTGTATGTATTTCATCTGTGTATTTGACTCTTCCCCTGGAATAATTGGGGAGTTCCGTATCATGATATGTCATATTGAGTCTTTAGGCTTGTGATGTGTTGGTTTTGTGAGCTCATTAAACAATGCAACTAATCTGACTGGTTAATCATTGTCCTGGCATGATTCAAACACCCAGAGTCCTCACCTTCCAACTTCCGATGCTTCTGTAGTTCACAGGCATCTAGATACGAGCTGAGCATGTTTGCAGGAATCTTATCGGCTCTGCAATGATAAAGACCGATATGAAAGGGGAAGTTATGGTGTGTTTTCACTGAGCACATTACATGAGTTAGTATTGTAATACAGTAATACCATACTGGGCAAGATAAGAGGTTCACTTTACCGTATTGACCATAGGGTACATGTATCTACAGTATCTTCCATTAAGGACAATGAGATCACCGATATTGATGAGCACCCCAGAAGCCACCAAAACCTGGCCACCTGTAGTATACAAACTTCAGCTTTCAGGAAAATCACGCTCCTAGTTCGATATGAGGCCTTAACTTCCTTTTGAGCTGTGCCTACATTGCCTTTTGGCATGCGTTCGAGGTGTGCCATAGTACCAATGTTTCCCAAACCTCCAAATTCTTTTCTGTAGGCACCTGAAAATCAGGGGCTTCCAGGCCACCTTGCGGCAACATATTCTGTACTCTTTACCACCAATGATTACTTAGCAGAGCTTATTGCGTATTTTATCCCAATTGTGCTCAGAGATAATTGAAGCCTAGATGGCCAGGCCAAATTCAGCAGCATTAGTATGTATCAGTTAAGACGACTATAGCTGTATGATTGATTTGCACATCTAAGTAACTTTAGGGGCCTATAAGGGTGTGATTTGCTTCACTGTTCTAATTAAAACCCTGCTATGGTTTTTATTGCAGGCTGACAAGTGCGTGTACACACACACTTTATTTTACTTCTTCTATACTATAATTGTATTAAACACTCACCGTACTAAACAGATGGACACTGCCATCTACAAGCTGCTGCGGCCTCTGCAAGCTGGAACCATTTTTTTTTCCTAAATGAAGATTTTAGGTTGCAAGCTATCCCTATCATAGCTGACAACGTGATCACATTATTGAGAACCACTCTGATTGTTAGTGGGGACCAAAGCTGCCAAAGAATTTATATTTATAGATGTCTCCTCAGCACAAAACATCATGCTGAAGAACATTTATATACAAATTGCAGGGGTTAAAAAAAGGGGTTAAGGGTGTGACAACTAATGACAGCTTTGCTTTTAGCATGGTGTCTAAGGGGTGGTCAATCTTGCATGCAGTGCTGGGGTCCTGGGATTGATTCATACCAGGAACACAATCTGTAGTGGGATTCCCTCCATTCTCTGTACTGCCATGGGTTTCCGGAGCTCGGAGCAATCATGCATGAGATTGTTTCATGAGCTTACTTGAGAAGAGCAGCGACAGCAAAGAACAAAATGACACTCTGCAACCATCAGGCAACTAGAAAGGTTCAAGCTCATGAACATTCAATTTTCTCACCGTTTCAATGCATCAATGAGTAACATGAGTGAATCTGGAACCTTCGGCAGCTATATAAAAAAACAAAAAGAAGAAACTGTAAACTTTCATCTCCATCCATAACCAACATTATAATGACATCATTTGACTTTCCACATGATTTGCACATACTGGGGCACACTGGAAGTAGTATACTGACCACTCTGGGGGTGAGGAGTGCAGGCAGGAAGCGCGATGTAAAGTATGGCCTCCGGAAAATGCTGTAAATCAAATCAACAGAATGTATTTTTGGAGCAGGCAAAAGTGGTAAATGATAGCCACAGCACATTTTTACAATAGCAGTCTAGAACTTAAGCTTCTGTTTATTTCTATACATATGCAGTACATACAGCTGTACATAATCCTGGCAAAAGATGTGGACCTTTTTCAAGAAACCAGGAGTGACCAAACCAAAAATGCTTCTTTTTTCTTATTTTTAATGTACACATCTATTGTCTGCCACACACAATGCTGTTTTAACACCTCTCTCGGGGCAGGTTATTAACACCTAGCTCCAATTCTGCAAATGCTATCAACACCAGGTTGTGACTAACAGATTATGTGGATTGGAGCGACATTCACCATATTTATTCCCAGATCATTTTTGTACAAGTTATTTTGAATAGAGAAAGTTGGATAGATGACCAGTGAAACGTCTTTAAGAAAAATACAGCAAGTCCAGTTGCCTTGACTTATTTCTTACAGATATTTTGAATGCGATTCAAACAAAACGATCAGGCATCACGAAACAGCACAATAAACAAACCATAACAATAAAGAAAATATTAAAATGGTCCTGCTCAAAAGTTTGCATATCCATAGTTTATATTATTGTGTATTGCTTCATTTTGGTAAAAAGCCTCACAGTAGGGATGGTGTGCTTCCCTTTGTTGACTCCTCTCCAAGCATAGCGTTTAAAGTGAGCATAAAGTTCAATTCTGGTCTCATTACTCCAAATGATTTTGTTCCAGAAATTCTGGCATAATGTAAGCATGTTGCTTTGTAGCATTGGTGCAGCAGACATGGCTAACGTTTCACGTTTGGCACATTTGTGAAGCACAAGTGTAGTATCAAACTGTTTAGCCATGGAAGGAAGCAAACAATTAGTTACCACTGGATACCTGCAGGGATTGAAGCAAAGTCAAGGCTAATGTACAAAAGTGTTTGAATTGTAATAATCTTTAGCCAGACTTGTGATTCAGGAATGACTGCCAGACAGAATAGCGAGGTACAGGACCTCAACTGCATTTAAGCTGTACAGTTTGGACAATGAAATACCCCCAGCTTGGTGAAAGAACAATGAAGTAGCATCAATAGGCTAAAAGGTTATCATTCAGCTCTTTCTTCAAGTTAACTGAGTAAAGCTGGCTATACACCTATAGATTATCTGCATTTTTTCTATGGTCAGATGGAAAAAGTGCAACAGATTCCTCCATCTACGCTAAACTGTGTGAATGGAGGAATCTCCCACTGGGCCAAGCTTCAGTATCTTGCTAGTCGACCCCGCTGGCTGTCAAAATACTTGAACAATGCCTGCATCCAATCAGATTGTTCAGGTATTTTGACAGCCAGCGGGGCAGACTAACAAGATACTGAAGCTTGGCCCAGTGGGAGATTCCTCCATCCACACAGTTTAGTGTAGATGGAGGAATCTGTTGCACTTTTTCCATCTGACCATAGAAAATCTGCAGAAAATCTATAGGTGTGTGGCCGGCTTAACTCAGAGGTGGGTCATATATTGGACAATCAGACCTCACCATTTATTCGGTGTTCCAGTTTTCTTTTTCCTCTAGGTCTTTTAAATAGGCCGCTATGCTTTCCCAAAGTCACTTCACAGTAGAAGGTTTTACAAGGCTTAAACGTGCTTAAAAATATTTAATTTGAAATATTTAATTGTGAAAAAATATAATTACTATCTTACCAGCATATTTCCAAAAGAACAGCAATTTTTCAGCCTAGACAAAAGAAAAGCAGTTCCATACCTGGCTTCCATTAAACTAGCTGGTATCTTGCCAGTATTCTCAAATATCTTTAGAGCCTTCTCCACGTCCTGTTGTGCCTGAGGCTGTGGCTGCACAGGAGGAAGGGAAATAATAAGCTATGCTGGAGCTACATGGCAACAATCCATACTACATGGCAGATAAAAATAACCTGTCTTTATTAAGCTTTAAAAAGATGCTGTCACCTGCTCATTCAGGGCAAAGTGACATTGCCTTCTGATAACCCACTTCTCAAGCAAGGTATACTCCTCAAACAGTGTCAGTGTGACACCTCCCTGCTCCATAGCTCTAATGGAGAAGGGTTCTAGATACAGAAGAAAATGGGGCCTCTCCTAAATGAGTTTTCTGGACTAATTGGCCAATCACCAAGCTCTAAAATTATGACGGGGGGTGGGAAGGAAGTTACACCAAGGTAACCTGCCGCATCATCCCACACTGCAAATTTCCCAGGGTGGACTGCCGTTCCACAAAAGCAAGGGAGCGTGGATCAGTGTGTATACCTTGATGGGGGAGCAGGTGGGCTATCAGGAGGCAATATACACTCTAACCTGAATGGGCATGTGACCTTTTTAACTAGCAGATATCCAGTATTTGTAGATTTACATTCTCAAGCACATGCCATGGGAATGTTTTTCAGAATATCTAATCAGAAACGCAACAGTGATATTAGAGGCCACAACAAAAGACCAAATAACTGAGGCCACAAAAAAAATGGCAAGCCAACTCAGAAGCAACACAAAATCATCTGGTATTTTGAAACCGTCTCAAATACCAGACAGTGACTCCAGAGTACACAAACCCAACGAGGTGAACTTTTCCACACCTGATCTTTATCTGATCCAACAGACAGGTCCTCATACAAGCCCATATCTTCAATAGAAACCTTGAAAACAATAATACACACAGTAAAAATAGGAACCCAGTAGTAAAGAGACTTTGGGTCTGTACACTCCAGGAAGAGTACCTTCATATCTGCAAGCTGGGTCTTGGCCAGTGTAATATATTCCATCAGCAAAGGGCGGAATTTTGTGGGAACGAATGGTGAATGTAGGATATGGACCTGGAAGTAATGAAAAACATTTATAGGAACTGGCAACTGTACCAGTATAGGTAGCAAATAGGGATGCATTAATAATGGTTTTTCGGTATCAAGTACGAGTACCAATATATATATATTTTTTTGGTACTCACCGATACGAAAACTGGAAGTCCAATTAAGAAAGCTAGGTGGGTGACGTGGAAGCATGGAAGCCGGGGGGCTCCTGGCCAATCAGGAAGCCGGGGGGCTCGCTGCCCGGCTTCCTGACACCGGATGTTCTGGTATTGGGATAGGCGTCAGGAGCATTTGGGCGAGAACGAGTACTCGCACAAATACTTGGTATCGGTGCGTCCCTAGTAGCAAATGTCTAGATCTTGGTACTAGAAGTGAAGGACCGCATAACAAACATAAGCGCAAGGGGTCCTGGCTGTGAATGCCAGGGATAATAAAAATGTATCCAAGTGGAAGGTAACCTCCTCTTACCTCAGACTCCACTCCTCCTATGCCATGTTTTGCCCCAAAACTCTGCATAATTGTACTGGCAAAGAAGACGGAGGCGTGAAAGTACACTGTTAGATCTTACGTTTCGGCATACCATGTAAGAATGCTTGTTGATTGTTGCACCTTTCCGATACACTTGTATAAATACCTTTACACCCACCCTCTTCCCTCCCCGTTTCTTTTACCTCTACAATTAAGCCTAGTTTTTGGACAAAACATGTCAGAGGAGTAGCGGAGTCACCATCATGTCTTCTTTCTTGTCCATTGAATGACACAGGAAGTCTTTAAAGCTGAACTCGTCTTACCTTTAGCTTGTGCAGACTCCTCTCCTATACTGAAAATGCTTAATCTGATTTCATTGCAAATAATTAGTGTGACCGTCTGGACAGTCATTGTCAACTGGACTCGAATAAAGGCCTTCAGAGTTTTGAGAAGCCTTTGGGCTTGGGAACAGTAAACAAGTTGTAGTAAAACCCCTGGAAAGTTCTGGAACAGTGACTGGAGCAATAACCTTGATCCAGAAGACCAGAGAGGGCTCCATGGAGATCTAATAATCTGTGCGGTGATACAGAGAGGTTGCAGGTGACAAACTAAGGAGGGGGCGAGTAGAGAAACTTCAGTTTGTAGCCCTGGGATATTACCTCCAGCACCCTAGCATTTCTGCAAAGGTTAAAAAACGTTCCACTACTCTGAAAAGTGGGGGTGCATGGCATTGCAGAAGAAGGCTTCTCTGAGAAGGTGTCAGACACAAACAAGAAAAGAAAAGGCTCACCTTTAAGTATTGTGGTGTTTCAAATGGAACCAAGTCAGAAAGAAACTTCAACAGGAAGACTAAAGACTTTTTGCTGGTGCTCTGATGGGAGCTGGGAGAACCGAACGTGCCCTAGAAAACCAAAAGCAAAAAATATAGGCTCAGCCAGACAGTCAGTCCTTTAACTTGACCAGGGATAATTTCTACCATATCTTGGTTGCGATCAGTAGAAAACCATACTAGGGCCAATCTTTAGACAGAAGCCAATTAACCTACCAGCATGTCTGCATTAGGTTTCACTCATGGATTGGTAGATCAGCCAGGCACGGTGACATTTTCTAGATTTCCTCAATTCCCCACCTTCTTCTAATCATGTCACCAAGTGATTTCATTTGGCCTTGTGTACATGGGGGTTTGTTTGCTGCTTCTTTTCTGGGAGGCAATTGAGAAAGCTTCTGAAGTAGTATTTAAAGCGACCCTGTCATTAGTCTACAGAAATAAGACCAAGTCCACCCTTTGAAAGAAGAACAGAACTTAAATACCTACATTTTCAGAAGGCAGTGAGCTAAATCTCTCCCTTGTGTCCTGTAATGATGTAGCAGTTGGCAGGAGGAACCACAGTGCAAATATGTGACACACTAAGGAAGTGCCTGATAGCAGTGGGAGGCCTTTGCCTTTCGAGAATGAAGGTTTAACTTGCCAGAAAGATGAGCAATGCTCTTCTTTTGCAGGGTAGGTCTGACCTAACTCCTGCAAGCTAGTGATAGGGTCACTTAAAATTTTGACTTGGATCTTATAAAGAAGTTTCAACCTGCATATATTCCTGAGTCTGCTTTGCATTATGGGTAAGCACAGCATGTCCTTATCTGCATCATCTGAACTGCTCCATCCTTCCTACATAAGCAAGTCAGAAGCAATTCACCCTAATAATAACAGAAAACATTTTTTCCTGAAAGTAACTAAAAACCTGCTGTGCTTGTCTTGCTTTTGAGTCTGAAGCCCATGTACACAGACACGGAATATGTCCCCTACTGCAAACATTTTTCTCCATTAACATGTCTCATTTTGTTCCCTCTTCCAAATTTCCCTTGCAATTGCCTCATTTCAACCTGTCTCTCTTCCTCAGAGTTTGTTGAGAAGAAAGAAGAGGATGGCTGGTGGGGTAAACATGGATGGCAACATCACAAACCGTCCATATAATAACCAAAGAGAAGGACATGTCTGGAACAACACATTTCAAAACCATGGAGTCCCCAGTAAGTTACACATCTTATTTCTCTTCATAGCTATGGATGAAACTATCTGACCTTGAACCACTCCGTGTAGGACATAAATGCGGCAGGACCTTCAAGAGCAGCTTGGCGAGCAATGAGGAAAGCAGTGATGAGATACTCCAGTTCATAGGTCTCAAAGGCCTGAGACAGGAGACGGTTTAAGAGATCTGCAGCAAGACAAGACAAGAACCTTTGTGACCAAACTGGACACATGAACTCCTTATAACAATGCAGAAAGCAATGAAGATGTATCAAGTGCACTTATTCAAAGCAACCCCATTGCAGAACACTGAAATAGGAAAAAGAAATGGAATGCTATCTGCTGATGGGTTACTATGGGTATCGAACTTTGCCTTACCGAATAAGCATGTTTGAGTTTGAAAACATGTAATACAAAGACATGTGTGCATTTGTTTAATTGAACCCAATGAAACAAACTCTGCTTCTAAAACCACTTATACCGACACCACCCACCTAGTTTACAATCATATACCTGTTAAGACTGTGTTACAAGAGATAAAGACCGCTACCGAGTTACAAAATAATGCTGAAGACTATAGCAAAGTTATAGACCTGCTGGAAAATTAAGGTCTTCCATTAGAGTATACTATGTTATAAAAGACACATGGAGGCTGACAATGCCATTCTCTCCTGCTACAAATACCAGTTGATTAGCTGCCGTGCTGAACTGTTTTCTTCAATACAGTCCCTTGCCCTGAAAAAGTGTGCAGATAAACACGTGTAACTTTCTGACTTTCCTAAACGGCATATATGTTTCTAAGTCAGTGACTCAAAAGACTGAAACCTAAGCATCAGCATAACAGCATCATCAGAAGGAGATTTCAACCAGGGCAGCCTCTATATTTCTCTTATGACAGGTTCATACTAACATGAGTATCAGGCAACTTTACTTAATTAAGCAGAAACCAAACCCAATCCTAAATTGGCTTTCAGTGCTACTCTGCCACAACCCAACTCTCAGCCCAGTTTATCTAAAGCCAAAACGACTCCACATGTGGGTAACCAGAGGGTACCTGATCAACTGTTTGACTCCAATGGGGCACTGATGTAAAGGTTCTAATGTTAGGAGCTGCTACAAATTGGTGTAGTCTTGTAAATGACACTCTAACTAATGGCTAATAAATGGTATAACTTCAGAATATTTCAGTGCTTTGACTGTCTCCACATTGGCCGTAACCTCCTAACAGTGTGTAGCTCTCTCTGTGCAAAGACGGTCATTCTACTGCTATCCACTTCCACATGAAGGGAATAACAGGTGTAGGGAACTGTTCTTTTATACACTTTCTGTGGTTTTGTTTACATTAATGTTATCCACTACCATAGAGTTCTGTTACAAACAGATTCTTCCTTTTCATAGGATATGCTTCCTGCCCCTGCTAAAAGGTTAGGAAACCCCACAGTTAGATATATGGTCTTTTCGTGAGGTAATATTCAATGTGTGTGCCCTCATGCCATATGTTGTGGAACTGAGAAATACTGCATGCTGATTCTGTGCTGAGTTCATCCAAACCAAAAAGGAGATATATTAGGCAAGTGTTCCTGCACTGTGTAGTTTCACTTTCTATTATGTTGCCACGACTCCTGTGTGAGAATCCTGAGATTCCTGTCAGAGGTATCTCTGATTCAGTATCATTGAGCTATTTGTATACTGCAAGATAATTATGATTTCTCAGCTGTATAAAGAGTTACATTCACCTGACTAGGTCTTATCAGGTGAATCTTCTGTTGTTGCAGTGAACACTTGCAGTGTTATTATTTAAAGGAATAGCACCCTTTTTGGTTTGGAATTCCTTAGCTAGTGTTAGCTTAGGGAACAGTAAACATTATAGGGTAGAGGTAGGTTAGGCATCCAATGGCCGCTTAGACAGTAAGAGGCCCGGTTGTATTGATAGCCTAGAATTAGAACAGGGACCAAGAGATAGAATAGACAGTTATGAAAACTAAAAAAACAACAACATAGTAAAATGGACTGGGTAAACAAGACAGCTCAAACCATCACCTTTCACCAGATGCTGAGCCTCAGATTGGCAGATGACAAGGCAGGAAAAAAAAGATAAAACATGATGCCAATTGACCTCCTGTGTATCCAAAATGCTCTGTACATGTGAAGTCAGCTTTTCAGCATTCAGCAGCACAAACAACTAAGGAGAAGCAGAAAACAGATGCATTTGTAATTGCAAACTCAATATTAAATGAACTGTTTAAATGTAAACTAAATATATTCAAAAGGCAAAACAGAAAAAAAAACAGGATTTTTGTACTCACCAAAAAAATATAAAGTCAATTGAGGGGCGCAGGAAAGGAAGTTTTAAAACTTCAGGTCACACTGCCACCTACGTAAGGATTGGACACTTGCAAACAAAAAACACTGCCTTAATCATCATAGGAATTACAGACTCAGCGATGACCCTGACCCTTACAACCTAGGCTTCAAAAACTATGCCATTAAAACCAGAGACCATAAAACAGGATGGTCTGGCAGGGTCCATAGTGCATCTGCCTGAAGTCTTACCAAATTGGCATACCACATCTGCTTGGGCTAATATGGATCACCAGAATCGCGATCCTGTGGAGCAGACAAGCTCCAAGTTTCAGGGGAGGCGCAGGGCGTACTGATCCCATGGAACCACTAGCGATAGCTCAGGGTGTACTGATCCCACAGAGTCACTAGATGATGCACAGCTTATGCCAGTGAATCTCTGCCCCTGGATACAAACCTGTCCAGTTTGCTGTTAAACCTAAGGGCCAGGAGGTCCACATTCAGTGTCCTCCACCAGAAACACAGGTCCTGAAAAACCTCTAGGTGAAGGGACCATTCCTCCGGGGGCAAGACACTTTTGGCTGAGTAATTCTGCCTGTCAATGAATTGCACTTGGAATGTACATGGCTGACAAGGCTAGAACATGTAGGTCTGCCAGGAAAGGATCTGCTCTACCTATTTTTATGCTTCTTCAATGGTTGATGTAAGCCTCCACTGTGGCATTATCTGATTTAATCCGAATGGGATGGCCCCAGAATGTTTATTGAGATCCAAGATTCATGCGATAACTAATTCCCCTGCACCAACAAGATGCCCAGGACTCCCCATCCCAACACACTGTCATCCACCGTGAGAATCTTCTAAAGGAAAAGAAGGAAGGACTTCCCCCAACTCCAGAGCCGGATTACTAATCCACCAAGCCATGGACCGTCTAGTCTGCTCCTTGACGGGCCCAAATTAGTAGTGTCCAAGCCTCCTGTAGGCAATATAACTTGAAGGTTTAAAACGTACTGTGACCTTCAATAGACCAGAAAATAAAATATATTACTACCAGCCTACAGGCTTATTCAATAAAGCAGATGACCTAAAATTGACTGTAAAATTATTATATTTTTCACTGAAAATTATAAAAATGTAACCATGGTCATGTGACATCTGCTGAAAATCAGGGCACAAACACAGCCACTGATTAACTGATGCTCTTCTTTGCCAGAGATGATGTGACCAATGCCTATGCTATTGGCCATGTGACTGGCCGCCACAGTACATGGTAACTAAGCAGCAATATCTGCAGGAAAGATATTCAACTCTTGTCAATATTCTTACTGCCTTACATACCTTTCGGTACAAATCCATCAACAACGGGCATGTTTTTACAAAGCTCCAGTTCCCCTGAAATCGGATGGCGTCAGAAACTAAGGGAAAAAAATCAATTTACCAGCTAATTCAAAGACATACAAGACATTAAATCAATCACCGGGGTTAAATACCTCTGGTGGAAACTAAGCAAAACAAATGAGGTTAAAAGCAACTTTTAAACAGGATAATTTGTATGTATCTTTACAGCTGGAAACTGACTGATATAATACATTTCTGTTGTTACAAATGTCGCTCTGTAACTGTAATGTATTCAGGAGAATGATCAAACTAAAACCCGTCATCCTCATGTTCCTGGCTTGCCTTTGCAGCTACAAAACAGTTATAAACATCAAATTTAAAGTGGTCATGCTATTGCCTGAACTATACAATCCACTATTCTCTTCTGCAAATGGCAGCCTACAGTATGCAAACAGTAAAGGATATCTAAACCTAGGAACAAAACTGTAATTGATTGAAACTTACCAGTCCTTATATGTGGGGACTGCATTCGTTTTCTTTTTCAGGTTAAACACTTTTAGCAAGTACAAGAAAACAGGATTTTTTACTCAACGTAAAATCCTGTTCTTGGAGTCTACTGAGGGACACAGAAAGTCTTTAACTGATGGGTTATACAGCCACCTACATAAGGATTGGACAATGACAAACAAAAACCTGTAGGCCAGCGCAGGATAACCCCTCTACTACCAACATGCCTAAGGAATGTAGCAAAGCAGTACCAAGAGTATGATCATAAACTAAGAGGGAGGTTCCTCAATGGACTCCAATACCAGAATTTTACAGTGAATACAAAAAATCCTTTTTTTTCTTGTCTATTGGGGGACACTGGAAGTATTTATTAGGACTAGGGATGCACTGATACTAGTATCGGTACCATTATGGAGTATTTGGATGAGTACTCGCCCAAATGCTCCGATTCTTACCCCCCATACCGGAACTGCTGGTCAGAGGAAGATTTCCTGTATGTTTGCTGTATGCAAACACCCCTATATTTACTCCCAAACACACCGTGTTCATGAGCCCTAAATCCTAAACATTTGTCCCCTAATCCTTCCTCATACCCTAAACAAACCCCATGAATACATTCTTATCCTGAGGAGGAAAGCTGAAAAGATCTTGACACTGGAGCAAATAATTTCAGTCATGTGAGAAGAGGTTGCTGTTCACGCAGAAGCACATGTCCAGAAAGGCAGATTCTGAGTGTGTAGCATTATATAAAACTTGGATTAAATGTAAACTGGAAAGACCTTCTGGAGCGTTTTCTAAGCAGCATTAGCAGTTTTATTCCTTTACTATGTGATGTTATTTAAAGTGTCCTTGTAAGGGACATGTTACCTTTCAGCTTCGGCTTATAGGTAAGCGTCTGACTGAGCGTGTGGAGAAAGAATTCCTCTAGAGATTCTGGAATCACATGGGCTCTGTATCTGGAGACTTTATAGGCAATTAACCTGCAGAGAAGCAGAAGACGGAACACCGGGGTTAACAAAGTAAAACATGGAGCATATTATTACTACCTATCGGCTAGAACTATGAGGTGAGTGAAAAGCACTCACCTCATAGTTCTCCTTTAAGGTACCCAAAAGGTGTCATATGGTGGTTGGAAGACCTGACCTTCTTGATAAAGCACAGACAGATAAAAAACAGTGTGTGCCTCTCTGCACCTCTCATACTGATGTCTTCTCCATCTTTTGTGATTTTATGTTGTTAGCATTGTAGAACATCAAAATACCACTAATATAATTGTCTGATTTTGTTTCCATGTCTGCCTCCTTCAATCCTAGCACAGAAAAACCCAGAGAGGGATGGTCAGAAATATCAGTCAATGACACTCTACAGTTCATATCTGTTAAAGGTGAACATATTAGTAATAATTCAGCGTTGACTAATTCACCTAAGCTAACATATCCTTACTCAAAGCTTACTCAACTAAACACACAGATGAAGTACATATATAGTAAGGGAGGTGCTTTACCTGTCAAAGGATTTGTATTTCTGTCTATCCAGCGCTGAGATAAACGTAACCTTTCAGCACAGCACAGTCCTGTCTGTCAGGGCAGTTATTATGATAATACAGCATTTATATAGCGCCAACAGTGTTCGCAGCGCTTTACAATATAAGGAAGGCATTACAATCACAATTCAAGACAAGATGGTAAGGAGGGCCCTGAGCTGATTTTTCTCTGCTGCAGTCACATATCACTATTGGTCTTGTCCCTCTCCCATCCAATGACTGGACAGTAAAAGAAAAGTAGCAGAATGATGAGCTTGCCTCTCTGCTCTCTCCTCCTATTGGCACAGGAACATGAGGAAGCAAAGATGCCTTGCTCCTTGTGCTGATTCTCCCTATTGCAGTCTGAGCTCAGAGGTACAGGGGTTTGTAAGTCAAACTCGGGTACCTGCACCTGTTGCATTGAAAAACATAGATTAATAATTGCATTAATGAATACAAAGCTGCATTAATTTGGGTCTCTTATATCTGCCTTGAGTTAAGGTTTTTACCTGTATTCTCTTTGACCAGTGCAACTAAAATCAAATGCGATCATTTGATTGGTCAGTAAGACATTGCATTCATTTTGGAAACATTCACATGATTTTTAGCCGCACGATCAACCAAGAGATCAGGGACAGCATCATAAGGTTGCAAAGCAGTCAAACTAGCAGTAGCAATAGTGAGTTTTCTTCCTGTATTATGATTTGTGAACAGAGATACAGTGGTACCTCGGTTCACGAACGCTTCTGTTCGCAAACAATTCGGTTCGCGAACAGGAAGTTTGGCAAAATTTTGCTTCCGTTCACGAACTCCGCATCGGGTGACGAACACAACCGCGGCCTCTTCTCTGCTCTGATACATGGTCGTGGCTTCCTCTAATCAAGATCGCGATCTGATCACAGTTTGATTCGGTTTGCAACCAATTCGCTTCGCGGACAGAATTGTGGAACAAATTAAGTTTGTGAACCGAGGCACCACTGTAAATCGTACATAATTGCTTCTTTTCAATAGCTCCTGTAAGCAATTTATCAACTACAGAAATATGGCTTCACACACAGTCACAGGACTGAATTGACAGCACAATTCAAAATCAGCAACTGAAGATGTAGAGAAGGGAAATTTACCAATGTCGTTCAACTCCTGGCTTGTATGACTGACCACTTCCTGCTTCTACAACTGCATCAAGGAGCCCTGAAATAAAACACGTGACTTACATTTGCATAACAGTTTTGGGTTCACATTGACTTATTGGCTAGAAAACCATTTAAATGATCCAATCATCATACCTCTAAGGCAGCCTTCCTTTTATCTGCAACTAATAATCTACAGCTGTGGTATTTATATGACATGACCAAAGGTCTGCTGTGTTTCCAACAACCCCAGTTGACCTCAGGGGGATAAATAAAGGTAGAATTAAAGACCCAGTCAGGCTTAAAAGCCAATTTGCAGTTTAAAGATAACTAGTTATAAATAGGGCAGGTGTAAGCATATGAATCTTACTTTTTACGGCAAAGCAACAGATTCACTCCACAGCTTCAAATACTCATCTTTTTTTCTTCTCCGTCCCCTACTTCGATTAGCCCTTAGGACAAAAGAGAGGCCCTGGGTAAGCTTCAAGTCGTGACACAGGCCTAATGAAGAGATTGTCACAACCGCCCCCATACCCAGAAGTATGGAGTATTTATCTTTGTTCCCAACAAACAAAGAGAAGCAAAGAAAATGTAAATAAGTATGTGAAGCAGGAGAGGGAGCAGATAACTGAATCCAATGAATGCCTTGTCCTACAGATTCACTTTAAGGTTTTGGTCCTTAACTCGTGTTAAAAAAGTAGCCTTGCTTCTCAAGGACAGGTATGTGTGTTGCTCCTGTATTTACCCCCTTTTAGAGGAGAAATATCAGCCCAGTGTGCGGCTCGATATTGCTGACACTCAGGCCAGGTCATTGGAAGTGGGATAAAACTTTAATTTACCAAACTCTTTAGTTTTCTTTCATGTCTTCCTAACAGCAGCTTTGTTATACAACAATTTTTTTTTAAATGTACACCAGAGCTGTTACCACTAGGGATGTCCCAATGCCACTTTTTCAGGCCCAAGTGCAAGTACTTCCCCTCATGTACTTGCCGATACCAATTACCGATACTTTTTCTTAAAGGGACAGGTGACTTTAAATGATCCATAATACAACTACATGTTATGTACTATGGATCATGATTTAACCTATTCATGTTAGCAGGGGAGAATTGTAAATCTATTGTTGCAGTGCATTCTATATGTAGTATATAGTACATGTACATATAGAGTGCACTGCAACAATACATTTACAATTATCCTCTGCTAACATGAATGGATTAAATGATCCCTAGTACAGGGCTATGTATTGTCTGCACTGTATTAGCAGTGTGTGCTCTATATGTACTCTATATGTAGTACATATAGAGTATATACTGCTAATACAGTGCAGACAATACATTTACAATTATACTCTGCTAGTATTGTACATGTACTACATATAGAGTACACTACAGCAATAGATTTTTCAATTATCCCCTATTCCCCTGCTAACATGATTAGGTTAAATCACGATCCATAGTACAACTGCATGTTATGTATGTAGTATACTATAGATCATGATTTAACCTAATACTCTATATGAAGAAGTAAATGTACACTTGCAATCAGATTATAAATACAATACTGGCAAAGTGGCAAAAACTACCCCACTTGCCATCTCAGCAGCACAGGCCCTTACTTACTGGTGCCTGTTCAATGGAGCCTCATGGGGTGCCGCATGATTTTTCCTCCTCATGCGAGGACGACATCGGCGGCGCTGAGAGGGTGAGCAGAGGAGCGTTGCATCACTGATGTGGGCGGAGCTACAGGCGGAGTCCTCTGGGCAGTCGCCAGCCAACTACATTAGACCCGGCGGCGGCGCTGAGAGGCTGAGCATCGCGTCACTGCTGTGGGCACAGCTGCAGGCGGTGTCCTCTGGGCAGTCGCCAGCCAACTACATTAGACCCCACCTGGAGCTCTGCCCACAGCAGTGACGCAATGCTCCTCCAGCCTGCCCAGAAGACCCCAACCCCAGCCACCACGGAAGGTTAAAAAAAAAAAAAAAAACAGTGCAAGCTTCGGCGCTAGGCATCGGGGCATTTTGACAAGTACAAGTACTTGTCAAAATGCCCTGTATCGGGCCCGATTCCGATGCTCGCATCGGTATCGGGACATCCCTAGTTACTACCCCTGAACTCAGGCAAGAAATAAGATAGTTCCAAGATAGCGACCAGCGCCAAATAAACGAAGCCCTCCTATAGCCCAAAATGCTTTTTATGGTCCAGTGAAGGCTGCCCTGTTTCAGACAGCTCTGAGGAAGGGGGCGTGTTCCCGAAAACGCGTCCAGCAGTGGTAGCGGGACTCTGTGAGAAAGCAGAGCTCTTTGATTTTCCTTCAATCGCTCCAGCGTGTATTCACAGTCTAAAAGTCATTAAGGATCATCAGTCCATTTGACGCTTTTAACCAATGCTTCTTTTGTGAGTATATATCTTTGTATACCTCTTTTTATTAATAAAAGGTTTATTTGCACCAGGAAAGGCGCCCGGTGTTGTTTTGTAAGAAATAAGATGGCCTTGAAGCCTGATACTTCTGCTGACAGGGAGAGAATACAGGTAAATAAAAAACAAAAAGGTAATCCCAGAGAAGTAAGGCTGCCCTGTTATAACAACTCAAAAATGCAGATTCAGATGATTAAAATTGGTGGTTCTCTTTATCCACAATTAACTAAAAATTGCAAATAATCTTGGAACCAACAGTTGATTGTTTTCTTTTCTATAAAGCAAAGGACGCATGTAACCTCCCCATCTATTGGCTTACAGAGTGGACAGAGGAGGGTCCTGGCATTGTACAGGTCTTTTGAACACAGACAGGTCTCACACTGTAAAAACATCTGCCACCATAGAACAAAGGAAATGCATTAGCTGTGGATATATACTGGGTACTTACATGAAAGCATTGCATCCAGGATGGAGAGCGAGATCTAAAACAGTGAGATAGGTCTGTTATAAAACACAACAGGAAGTACAAGACAAGGTAAAACAAGAAGGAATATGGTATACCTTGGTCATTTTGGACTGTTCTGGATTCTTTACAGAGGAATACGACTGACAAAAAGCTCTTCCAATCAGCACAGCCAACAGGTCTATAAATTCAAAGGTTCAAAACTTTAGATAACATAGAAACCTGGAAGTAAAAGTCAGTGTACCAAGCACACAACCTGGCAAAAACCCTGATACTGCGAAGCATAAGGACGTACAGGTTCCTATTTGTGTTTCAAATAAGATACTGGAGAACTTACTAGATATGATCTGTTCCACATACTCATGATCAACAGATGAATTTTCCATGTGAAGACACAGCGCCCGCATTTCCGTGCAGAACCAAGCCACAGCACAGCTCATGTCTGTACAACTGAACACAAACAACATGTCAACGCTCATAGGAATTGTATTGCACTGATGTCATTTACAATTTGGAAACTATAAAACAGGCATTATTACTGCTGATCTGGGAACAGAATCTCGAGAGCAGATGTCAGGAGTTGCCTCTAAAAAATTGTTTAAGGACATGTCTAATTAGGTATTTCAGGGCCCCTTCAGATGCATTACTGCAACATACATGAAGGAATGTGTCCTATTTTGGTGCCAATCATTGTGAATGGCACCTCAACTTTACCCTACAGTATATTCCACTCATAATGAAATTCCCTTTAGCTTCCCATCCACTGCGATTTCAGATTTGCTGCAATTTTCTTTGAATGCTCTTTCATACAATACAATACACACACGTCAATCTTATGGGCATCACAGGGGCTCAGTGGTTGCGCAGCACAGGGGCTCAGTGGTTGCGCAGCACAGGGGCTCAGTGGTTGCGCGGCACAGGGGCTCAGTGGTTGCGTGGCACAGGGGCTCAGTGGTTGCGCGGCACAGGGGCTCAGTGGTTGCGCAGCACAGGGGCTCAGTAGTTAGCACTTCATGTCTTGCTTCCCTGGGTTCTACAGTTCGCATTGGCAACTAGTACACTATCTGCATGGGGTTTTTATATTCTCCTTTTGCTTGTGCAGGTTTGCTCCCACATCCCAAACACATGCTGGTAGGTTGATTGTTTCCTGTCTAAATGGCCCCAGTATGTGTATGTAGGCATGAGAGATAGGGACCTTAGCTTGTAAGCTCCTTGAGGGCAGAGACTGGTGTGAATAAATAGTATGTAAAGTGCTGTGTAAATAAATGGCACAATATAAATACCTATAATAAAAAAATAAAAATAAAATCGTACCTCTCTAGTATGTCCTCTATATCCACTATGTCCATACTGTGTAGGTGCCACACGACTTCTAACACTGGTGGGCGCTGCAGAGCAGAAATGAACAACTATGATGTAAGAAATGGCCCGTTAAAAAAATAATGTGCACCAATATCAGTAGCACAACTCACCGGTTGCTCCCACATCTCCTTTAAGAAAACGGAGCATCTGAAACAATTTTCTGCCATCAGCACTTTCAGTGTCTTCAGAAAAGCTGTCAACCTGTCCTGTGGAAACATGATAGAAATGAGGGATTATCAGCTATGTCCAATACTTGTGTATGACTACTCTTTACAGCCCCAGAGAAGGTGCCATTCCCTAACCTCAAGAAAGTGCCAGAACATTAACCTCCATGTTCCAAAATTTCTTTGTGAGTCAAAGTCATTATACATGCATCAGCAGCCTAACGTCTGAGCAGTGGAATATGGGGGATACGTCCATATTAAAGTGGTGGAATATCGTTCGGATTTGTAAAGGACATACTGAAATATTAAAGAGACTTAAAACTTTACAGTGATCTTTTTTGGATACTCGTATAAGGGACCAGCCTGATATAAATAATGCATTGACTGAGCTTTCCGCTTTCTTAAAGATATTTCAAATGTTACAGATTCACTTTTTTTTGTTGTTGTTCTTTTTTACTACAGTAAGACTGTAAAAGCGCTCTGACTGCTTCATTCTGTTAAACAAATAGCTTCATATGTGACAGTTTACCAGTTAGAAGTGTATTTACAGCCAAACCTTTATTTTTATTTTTGGATTGAGTAGGAAAAGTTTAAAGCCCAAGTTCAGGCACAAATATCTTACCAAAGTGAAGCAAGTTGAACAGTTTGTTTGCTCTAAATCCACAGAAGTTCAACAAGAGCTGGACCGTCACTGTCCTTCCTTCTGGAGGGTGGCTACTTTTGTTCCCCATGGTCCCTGTGTGTGTTGTAAAGTAGTCACCGCTCCAAGCTCACTCCTGTGATGAACTAAAAATCTCATTACAAATTAGTAAACTAAACGTGAGATTGTAGTCCATCACGGGAGGGAGCTTGGAGCGGTATCTACTTTACAACACACAGGGACCATGGGGAACAAAAGTAGCCCCCCTTCAGAAGGAAGGACAGTGTTGGCACCAATTCAGAGATGATTTGAGGATCTACAGCCGAGTGATACACAAATAAGATACATTTTTGATAATAGTTAAGGTACCTGAATGCATTTTTAAGATTTATCTCCCGAGTATAGTGTCACTTTAATTCAGTAAGGTTATTGTGCTGGAGCTGGGTTTAAAGCCAAACTCTGGGGAAAATAAAAACCTACCCTTGCAGCGGGACGCCAGCAGCTGGAGGAGCAAAGGATAATGAAAGTAAAACTCTTTTTTTCCGGGTACCCTTGGCAAAAACAAGCATTTAACCCTCATAGTGCAGGGGGAGCCCCACTGCACGGGTATTTTTTTTACCCCTCGAGTGCTCTAGGCTTTAGTGCTACCAGGATCCCTGTGCTAGGTAGACCCACCCTCTCTCCTTGTCCTGCTGCCAACTGTCACTGAAACAGAAGGTGAATCAAAATCCAACATTTTACACTTTTCGCCAGAACAGGAGAAGAGGATTTCTTCCAATGGGGACACCTGTTGTTCTGACAGCTGTCTAACAAGGGAATTCCCCTCACTTTGGAGATTTCCTTTCACTTCCTACTGCGTCTCTAGGACAGGAAATATAGAGAAAACTCTGCAACAGGACACAGACAGCAAAAAATAAACTGCCAGAGGTTGTAACCTATTCCTCCTAATATACCTAAAACTAAGAAAAAAGGTTTTGGTTATTCATGCTAGGGATGTTTAGATACCAAATACTGTACTCGGTACATGTACAGATACTTTTCCAGCTCCAGGACTAGACTAGAGAAAAATTCAAAAGTTAGGAGGCCGCTGTCATTTGTAAGGAGCATACGGAGCTCCTCTGATTTGTACATTCCTGTTTTAATGTATGGGGTTTTTTGAATAAATATATATTAGGGATGCACCGATACCAGTTCTCCAAATACAAGTACTAATACTTGTCCAAGTCCTCACAGATACAAGTACTGGTACATTTTTGTTTATTGTCATGTGACAGTTTCTCTAAAACAATACAGACTAATGATTTCAGGACAGTGGTGGAGTGCCAGAGCCAGGTCCCAGCTGCAACCGTTGCAACCCTGGTAGTTCTCATGAAAATGCCAAGTATCTGCACTGGTATCTGGACTGGTATCTGAACATCTCTAATTCATACACATTATTAATTATAATTATGCACTATCCTAATATAACATAAACTGCATGCCTAAGAAACTCAGATAGTATTACAATAATAACAAACTATATTGGTAATAGGTAGTGAAATAAAGTAGCTAGAGGCTGTAGGAGTAAAAGTCAGCTCACTAGAAAACATTTTATATCAATCCTAACCGATCAATCCAGAATCAATAGAGAATAAAGTACTAATAAATTGCAGCAACTTATAGCAACCAGTCAGAATGAGGCTTTCAGTAATGGGATTTGATATAAAGAATTTGGAAGATGCTCCATGAATGTTAAATGGTCATGTTCAGTTGTACTCACTCGCTGGTCTTGGCTGAGCCATACTTCCTCCGTGTTGTTTCCTACATTAGGGCAGATCTGCTGGATGTTAGAGACAGCTGCTCTTGCACCAAGTACATCAGCTGGTATGCCCAGATGTAACGCCTGATCTCTTAAGGTGGAACCTGACAATAAAGAAAAGAACACAGGTGTATTATCTGTTTCAGGTGACTTCATAAAGTGGAAATGTGTGTAAACCTTTTTTTTTTCTTGAAGGAAGCATAGGAAAGATGCCTCTAGTAAGGTCTGCTTGTTGACAGCTTACAGCCTAATTACAGGCACTTATCTGTTATTTGGGGAACAGGAAATTGGATACAGAGCAGCATATGAATTGTCTAGAGGAGGTAAAACCCAGCTGATGTCTCGGACATTTTATATCTTTATAGACCTGTACCCCATGTGTCATGACATGTCACCAGGCAATGCCTTAAAATACCTTTTTCTCTCATTGACAATGCTGCTTCCTGCTCCCTCACTGTAGTGCTCCTCAACCCAACTGTACTCATGTGACTTGTGTTATGAAGAAGGGGAGGGGGGCATGTCTCACCAGATCTGTCACTAAGTGCTGATTACTGACAGCACCGGGTCTAAAGGTGGCGATACACTTTACAACCCTCGCAAGACCTTAGTCTTGCGAGGGTTGTAAAGTAATTTAAAAAACGTACGATCTGCCCATCTTGGACAGGCAGATAGTACTTGCGATCATCGCAAGCCCGCCCGCGTGGGGGGTGGGCTTCCGATGACCGCAATGCTGAACGGGCAGTGTGCCCGTGCGCACACCGGCCCGTTCGGCATTTGTCTCCCGAGCATCATTCAAACCAGCCGAAAATCGTACGATTTTCGGCTGGTTTTCTAGCATGCTCCTTAGACAAAAGACATGCGACCGTACAGTAGAAACGGTCGCACGTCTTCATTCGCACTGCACGATTCTCGTACGATCGCGGGATTTCCCACGATTCTCGTACGAGAATCGTGCAGTGTATGGGCACCTTAACTCTGGTTTATATTGGACTGTGCAGTCCTATTCAGACACAAAGCACAACTACTAAAACAGGGCAATGGAGGTTGTTAGTACAATGCCTATCTGACGGCATATCTAGTTCTGTAACTTGGGCTTTGAGAATGTGGTTAGCTATTCAGATGGTAAATATATTTTGCTGCAATTACAGTTTTTTTAAAACAACAATGTTACAAAAAGATGCCATAAGACTCCACTTGTCAAAATAAACAAGATTTATAGCAGATGCCTGAAAAAATGTTTTGGCCAGACTTCTATTTAACATTCCTCTCAGGTTTAGACAGCAAATTATCATTGTGAGTCAAGAGGCCAGCAGTAAACTTTACTTACCAATAAATGATGCTGGAAGTAGGGCAGATTTCGGAGGATGTTTGGAATCTGAGTTTTCACCATCACAAACTTTCTTACAAGGAGGATCCTGTATCTGAAATTAGAAATGAAATTACATTCTGAACACACAAGAATACTATCACTGGGGTCACCTACATGGGGTGTCTACAGAAGGGGGTGTCTACTGATTTTTCTTAGATTTTGGAGAGTTAAACCACCTGAAATATGTCTCTGTCCATAAGATCTGTGCACATAAGTTCCCGGGACTGCACACCACCTGTGCCTATTGTGAGTGGTAGTCTGTGCTCCTGTATGCATCCGTTCTGAATCCGCCAATGCAGCGGTGCCGTCCGTCCGTTTTTTTACTACGGGCGGACGGCAAGAGGTTAAAGAAGAACTGCAGGTGTATAAAAAGTTAAGCCTTGCAGTGGGGCTACCCCCGCACTGCTAAGGTGCCCATACACTGTACGATTATCGTACGAGAATCACGGGGAAATCCCGCGATCGTACGATAATCGCAAAGTGTATGAAAAGCGTGCGACCGTTTCTACTGTACGGTCGCACGTCTTCCGAACAGGCTGGAAAGCCCGGGTTAGTAGCCTGCTTGTTCGACAACTGCAGCACACGCTGCCCGTTCAGCATTGCAGTCATCGGAAGCCCTCCCCTCAGCGGGGCGGGCTTGCGATGATCACAAATACGATCTGCTTGTCCAAGATGGGCAGATCGTACGTTTTTTTTATTACATTACAACCCTCACAAGACAAAAGTCTTGCGAGGGTTGTAAAGTGTATGGCCACCTTAAGGGATAACTGCTCTTTTATCCCTAGGGGCCGGCATTCAGAAGATATACTCACCTGATCCCCAGTCCTGCTCACCTCATCCCCCCCTCCGCTCCGGCTGTGCTATGTCCTGCGGCATCCTCACATCTAATTACGGTGCATGGGGTGACATGATGACGTCAGCAGGGCTTAGACTGCCAGAGCAGGGACGGGTCTAGCAGTCAGACAGGATCGAGGGAGTATATATATATATTTTTTTATTTGAGCCCCTATTGAAATACGAGTAGTTAACCCTTGCAGTGCGGGGAGAGCTCCACTGCAGAGGTTAACATTTTACATTTCCGAAGTTCCCCTTTAAAGAGAACCTGTTGCTTACTTATAAAAATGGAGGTAAAAGCACAGAAGCATGAAGTGCTTTACACGTTTACTTGCAGTGTTTTTCTTTTCTATAAATGATTTGTATTCACTTGCAGTTACTTTAGGATCTGATTACACCTGGCACAGCCCATTCTCTAGCACTCTCCTTGAACATCATAGGCTTCTCCTCTTCTGGGAGTATTTCATTACAGTCTGTGCTGGCCTAGCTCCTTCACCCTTCCCCGGGGGATGCTATAGAGTGTTACTTGAGTGACAGCTCTGGGTGTGCTTGGGCTGCTGAGATCATATTCAATATGGAGGTACCCAGCAGCAGTCTCAGAGTTGTTGTATTTCTAAACAAGGGAGGCGTTTACGTACAGTCAAAAATCATGCATCAAATAAATTCAATGCACATACAACCTTATGGAAAGATTTTTGTTCACATTGTCTGGCGACAGGGTCACTTTAATACCCTTTCACCTACAAAATGACAACTGCAGGTGCTGACTCAGACCACAACACAAGCTCGATGTGGCCAAGCTATAAAGCCGGTGTGTTCCTCCATTCGTACCCGGGAACAATTCTGCTGTTGTGTGTAAATAGCATCCTCAACGCTTCAGCAGCCCTCACCTCCAGCAGAAATTGATTCACATCCTGATGACAGCTCAGCAAATACACAGCCGCCTCCTGGATCCTTTTACTGCTGTGTTCAGCTTTTCTGTCTGGCTTTCTGGTCCTGCTGGCTGCAAATCAATGGCGAGAGTTTATACAGTTATATCAGAGTACACAGACCTTGTATACCACAAAACAATCCAATTTCAGGATTACAGAGATGAGGGGTGCAAATCTATCCCCATCGATCAGGTGGGTTGTACTGGAGAAGTACACAAGAGACATACTTAGGAATTTAAAGAGACCCTGTCACTGTGCCCCTTATATTGTTTCCCCATTGGGGCTCATGCACATGGGCGCCTACAACTGTACAACATAAATCTGGCCATATATGGCTCCACAACACGGGTGCTGCGTACAGCATTCAATAGAGACCACTGGCTGTACACAGGTGTAGGTTGGTATACGCCAGTACTTCCATGCATGCACACAGGTGTACAACTCAGGATACAGCCTGTGTGTGTGCTTGGTCGTATGTTTGCGTGTATGTGCAGGTATACGGAAGTACCAGCGCATACTCGCCTACAGGTATGTACAGTCATTTATTTATATGGAAGGCTGTACACAGCCCCTGTGACTCCCTGGTGGGAAAAAGGCAAGATTTACTTGTATGGGTAGAAACACCCGTGTGCAAGAGCCCTTACTGAGTTAACATGCTTTGTTCTGCACTGTGACTCTGTGTGGAGGCGGCCATCTTGGTAGAGGCAGAGCTTTGCTTCCTCGTGTCAGAGCCTCCAGCAAGGAGACCAGTGAGCAGCACAAAAGTAACCAAACTTCAATCCGAATCTCCTAAGTCTAGCAGTCAGAGGCAGCAGTGCCTGAGATCTTATACAGAAGGTATACAGCTATGACACTATGAGCACAGGAGTTTCTAGACACACTCACATACCAGGAAGTGACTTGCTATTTTTAAGGAGGAGTTTCGGACAAAAGGTAAGTCTTTTAGGGTACTGCTTAGTAGGGATGCACCGACACCAATACTAGTATCGGTACCGATGCTGAGTATTTGGGCGAGTATTTGTACGCGCCCAAATGCTCTGATGCCTAGCCCAATACTTCGGGTATCAGGAAGCTGGGCAGCACGTCATTACACGCTACCCGGTTTCCTGATTGGCCAGGAAGCTGGCTCCATGGCCAATCAGGAAGCCGGGCAGCATGTAATAACACGCTGCCCGGCTTCCTGACTGGTCGGAAGCTGGCCAATCAGCCAGGCGCCGTGTAATGACGCCGCGCCCGTCTTTCTGATTGGTCGGGAAGCCGGCTTCATGCTCCCTCGTTACCTCATGATGAGGGAGCATGGAGCTGACTACACGGACAATCAGGAAGCCAGGCGCCACGTCATTACACAGCACCTGGCTTCCTGATTGGCCAGAAAGCAGACTCCATGCTTTCTCGTCACCTAGTGATGAGAAGCATGGGGACGGCTTCCCTGCTAATCAGGAAGCCGCGTGGCGAGTCTTTACACGCCGCCCGGCTTCCTGGCTAATCAGGGAGCCAGGTGGCAAGTCATTACATGCCACCTGGCTTCCTGAATGGGACTTCCGGCACTCGGTATTGGTGAGTACCGAAAAAGAAAAATATGCCCTGGAATGCTAGTTTCATTCTCCCCCCATCACAAAACGCCATGTATTCCATAAGACCCCTAACGATCACATGCTGGGCAGACTAGAAGTACAGGAGAAGCTATACTAACCGGCAGAAACAACCCCACTGATTTTATGGTACTGTACAGTGATCCGGGCATTTATTATAACTGAAGTAACATTTCTTTACACATCTGGATTTATACAGATCTGCTCGGAGTTCCACTTCAAATGCAAAAAATGGAATTGTAATATATCACGTTATATTAAAAAAAAAAAAATCTGACAGTTTTTGTCGCCCTGTATTTAAATTGTTGATGACTTTCAATAGCAAATACTGTCATAACATGCAACAAGCGTCTATTTATAAATTCAAAAGTTATAATTGTACATTTTATCTTTAATGTCAGTATTTGCAGACTGGGTGCAGCAATGCTGATGTCATTACAAGTTGGCAGCGGTGTTCCAGCTAATGCCAGGGCCAAGAAAGCTCCATGATAAGGAATTACTGCTTATAACTTGCAAACCTAAGCCCTCATTCACACTAGAAACGTCCGGCACGTACAGCTCCGTGCGGTGTGCGCGGCCGTATCTGGCAGCTCTCGGGAAGGACAGGTGCTGTGTGTGATTAGTACGCAGCCCCCGTCCATCTCTATGGGAGTATGCGGCCGTACACCGCCCTACGCTCAGCCCAAGTGCAGGTCCGTACGGGTGCGGGTGTCCCGGCTCGGACACAGACAGGATCGATCCTGTCAGCGTACGAGTACGGACACCCGCACGGACGGCGTACTCCCATAAAGGAGGACGGGAGCTGCGTACTAATCACACGCAGCACCTGTCCTTCCTGGGAGCTGCCTGATACGCCCGTGCACGCACCACGGAGCTGTACATGCTGGCCTGTTCTCGTGTTAATGAGGCCCTAAAGCTTCACTCCCTAGGTCCACTTAAAGTGACACTAAACTCAGGAGTTTAATCTTAAAAATGCATTCAGGTACCTTAACTATTAACAACAATGTATCTTATTTGTGTATCACTCGGCTGTAGATCCTGAATAAGGATGGGTAGTGAAGTGAGGTCAGCGAGAGGAACCAGTGAGCGCTACGGGGTGACCCAGGAGACCAATACTTCCAGATGTGTCAGCTTGTGATGATTTTAAATCATTGGACATAATTATTTCCACTCTCTCTATACAGGGATATCTTGTCTGGGTAACTTTAGTATAGCAACAGTGTCACATGACAGTACCCAAACTCTGAGAGCTACCTGTGTCTTAAAGGGTAACTCCACCCTGACACTAGTATGCAGTCAAGGGTCCCAACTTTTCTCCAACCTGCCTGACCTGCATACATGCTTCCTATCAGTGACACATACAAGTAATAAAGCCTGTGGATCAGCATAACACTTAGTTATCTAGCATTATCAAAAGGAAGCAATGGCAGCTCCTGTAGCCTCTAATAATGATAAATACAGATGTATGTTTATTTCAGCCATGATTATATAGGCAACCCCTGCCGAGAAGTTAACACATGGCATGCTAGTGGATGTAAGACAGCTGGAAACCACAGACTGCTCATAGGTCAAATCTAACACGGAATGATATATAAACTTTAGTATATACCGAGCAGCTCCGCCAGACTCCTCCTCAAACTACCCGGTGTAGAGCCAGGCACGGACGACATCGCTGCCAGATGCAGAGGAGAAGACCACAAATGACTAGAACGTTTCCGCCACACTTAGAACACAGAGAGCGCGCTGCGCTGCTATTGGTGGATCCGCAGCATGGCGGCGCTCCTATTGGTGGACCCTCTCGCCGAACGCTAGAGATAGAAGACTTGTATGGGGCTGAAGGAGCGGCCATTTTGTTGTAGACAAGTAGCTGTTCCCTTTACCAGTCATATGTTGTTCAGTTTCATTTTATACATATATTTTTATATTATGATCATAATCAATTAGCACATTATTCAATATTTATTTTATATTATTATTTTCAGTTTTTAAGTATTTATTTACAAGTCATATTGTTCGAAAAGAAAGGCTGGAAAAAAATGCTTTGTACTAATATATTATATGTATTAAATATATAAAACATGTATTTAATATTAATAGTAAAAAAAGTATTCATTATTAATATTATTGTCATTTATATGATTTTTTTCATTTATATGATTTTCTTCTTTGCGTTCCATAGGTGACCCCTGAGGTCTTCATAAAGAGGACCTATCGCTGTATCTGTGCTGTGTTAGCCGCCTGTGTGATAGTAATAAAGATAAGTCTAAAAAAAGTTTTACAAAAATGAGTCACATATAAAAATCAGTACTCAGTACCAGTACTCTGGTTTTCTCCACACTCCAAGACATGCTGGAAGGTTATGTATGCATGTAAAATAGAGACCTTAGGCTGTAAGCTCCCTGGGGACAGGAGCTAATGTGAATGTGCAGTATGTAAAGTAATGTAAATTGTCGGCACTGTAATAAAAACAAAATAAATAATAAATCTGTCACTAAATGCACTAGAAATCTGGCATGCGGCCATTTAACTCTTTTGTTGCCAGAGCTGTTTTTGCATTTTTTGCACACAAGCATATTAGAGGTGATGGTACACCTTAAGGTGACATTAGTGGTTTATTAGACTCCTAATGTAACCAATGCACTTCAGTGAAGCTGATCAAGCACAGATCATGCTCATTGAGTTTTTTCCCTGGCTTCTGCAGTCAGGGAATGGCAGCCGGAAGTGATGCAGTCACCGTTGCCAGTGGCGTCACAAGGGGGGTGCGGCACAGCACACTATCAGAAGGGGTAACACTAAAATGACTGGCTGTCATTTTGGTGTCAACCTTACTCAAAAATCGGGCACTTTGTCATGGACTGAGCCCACCAACTGCATTAGAGGTGAGAGGACCCGGCGGCATACCTTATCCCTCCGGGTGAACCACCATGATGACCGCCGGCACCCATCCCCATGATGGCTGCCGGACGTTCGCAGGTCTCTCTCTCTCTCTCTGCTTCCCACCAACAAACATGATGCTGGCCCTGAGCCCGCAGTGGAGGCAATGGAGTTTGGGAAGCAAGGTGGAGAAAACTCTCTTTACCGGCCCCTGGAAACTATCTGACAGCTTTTTAGCGGACAAAATCGCTTCCAGTGTAAAGCCAACACTCGGTCTTACACAGATAAACATAGCTGGCAGGAGTCTGTTTAAAGGGGCTCACTGCCAGTGCTGTATGCTTTAAGTCGCTGGCAGCGAAAGAGTTAATAGACGCTGATATTGTGACCAAATTGATAAATATGCCCCAGTGATGCAGAAAGAATAGAAGCCAGAGCCAGCCAGGAAAGTAGCATTTTTAGACCATCCATTCATTCTTTATTCTAATACTCTTTCTATGGAGTCAGTGAGGCCCAATAGGCTGCTATGAGTGTTCACTGTCAATGACCTCAGAAAGCATGCAAAGCATTTATTACAGATGGCAGGTCACGGATGAGGTAGATGTCATTTTTTTTTCTGACAGTTCCTGCTAATTGTTTTATGTGTAAATGTAACGTATTGGGGTGCGGTCTTCTCCACCCCTGGAGGTCAGAGTCAAACAACTTGCTGAAGCTCATTCCTCAGGGGTCATGTTCAAGCTAAAAATATACATTGCGGAGTCCTGCTATGGAAGTACAAAGCCGGGGATTTTCTCTTCAAAGCACTCAGCAGCCTGCGGAGACAGAATCAGTCTGCTGAGAATGAAAAGTTACCTTTTGTTTCCGAGCACTGACTGCTAAACACTCAAGGTCCATTCATGCCACATGCGTTGGGGCTGTGCTGGCCGTTGTTTCCAGATCAGCCCTAAGACAAGGCAATTTGCCTTGCCACGGATGGGCACCGTTGCAGTAGAAACGCGGTGGTGTGTGCTGAAAAAAGTAAGGCATGCCCTACTTTTTTCAGTGCAGCGGGATGCGACGCAGAACAACCACCTCACACCCTGCTGTGCCCGTAAAACGGAATGCAATGTCACTTGTGACATTTCAATAAAGACCTAAAAAAAGAAGAAAAAAAAAGAAGTGCACAGTGCGATGAGCCAGGAGCGGGCATTGTGTTGGGCACCACACAGCAGCCACTCTGCATTTTGCACAGCGGCTCGTATGAATGGACCCTAAAGGACTGTTCACACCAGTGTGTGGGCATTATGCTCCATATACAGCACACATGCTAGCGTGAGTTGGGTCGGGGCAGCAAGGCATCAGACTGCTCTATTTTTTTAGCTCGATTACAAAAAAGAAAAACTTAATTGAACTTTATGCACTGTAGCACATTGCAGCTCCTTGTGGTGTGCTGACGTGCGGTGGCATAGTTACATAGTTAGTCAGGAGACACAAGACACAAGTCTATCGAGTTCAACCTAACGTTGCGTGACCTGCGTTGCATTGCAAAAATGCACACATGCTGATTTTGTATGCGCTGCACATGTACAAGGCGCATACAGAACAGGGTTCCAGCTGTCTCTCCGAGGTTCTTGCAGCCGGCCCCCTGATAATGTGCATGCGCCATGACATGTCATCAAGGGACTAGCTGCAAGAACCAGGAAGAGACAGCCAGCTAGGGTTGCCACCTTTCTTTGCCACTCTCTCTTTGCCGGCATCCATCACCATGATGGCTGCCGGACGTTCGCTGGTCTCTCTCTGGTTCTCACCAACAGCCATGATGCCGACCCTTAGATAGGGTTGCCACCTTTTCTTCAAGTGAAACCCGAACACGCTAGCCACACGCGGACATTTTTTGGGGAGAATGAGTCGTGGCTTATTCATATGTAAATAGTGCCGCCCATTCATACGTAAATATCACAGTTGAGACTATTTTGAGTGGGGGGCCAGTAGCCCTTATCTTAATTTTGGTTGCCCCTGTCTGCCTGACATCTTATGTCCGGGTTTCTGCTGCCATGAAACCCGAACACAGCATTCAAAACCCGGACTGTCTGGGTGAATCCTGGACAGGTGGCAACCCTACAGCCAGCCCCCTCATAATGCACATGTGCAATGGCATGTCATGAATGGACCAATTGCAAGAAACAGTCGGCTCCATGAGAATGCGCTACGGTGCATATGCATATTGTAAAGTTTTCTTCCTGGGATGCATGATGAGAGAAACCCCGAAGATGTAGGAATTAAAGCACTACACTAATTAAAATAGTCCAAGTCTAAGAGCTTGTGGTTCGATACCTTTGTTATTTTAGCTCCCTGGACAAAAGATCACTTAACCCTTGCAGTGTGGGGGTAGCTCCACTTCACCCGTTAAAAAAAATCTTCTTCTCTTCTTTAATAAAGGAATTTAACAAACACACACACAAAAAGTATGAGATTCTGTTACAGTAGGGAAAAAAGTAATACTGTGTAATATATAGGATAAGGGTGTAGGAAAGTCAGGCCTTCTGCTCCTCCAGACAGGGCTGTCCTGTGTGGCAGAGCTGTGTATATCTGAGGCCCGGATAGACAGACATACACATTATTTGGCAAGCATACAGATAGTGTATCTGTGTATCTAGCTGATTGGCTGGAGTTCAGCTGTAATAAAAGTGATCCTTTGGCTTTAGGCCAGCTTCTACTACACTGAACTTCATTATGTTTCAGCTTCCCATTTATATCTACAGTATTTATAAGGATGACTTCATCTAAGTGCTGAATACATCCAGGATTTAAAGGCACAGGTACGGTGATTGTTCTATGCCCCTGGACTCCCCATTACAGGATTGCATCATACAAAGCAAACATCGCCCTGCTGTTATGATCTCATTCACCTGTCAAAGTACAACAATGTGACCCTCGGATTATGACATTGTCATGGCCATTGTAAAATAAATGAGCGACATCCCAAATAACATTGCCACATCCCAAATAACATCATGCTAAGAGATCACTTCTAGGTTCTTCCTCATAACAAACAAAGCCTACATGCATGATGTCTGCCTCTTCCCACTGTAGAATGGCATTTTAATGTGTACCTGTCACTGCAAGCTACATCCTTATATACACTAACTGTGTAATAAACATTAGGAGGAATGTAAGCAAATAAATTACATTTTTCTTAATATGAAATGTCATGGCAAGGGAAAAATGACAACCCCCTAAACCAACCTCCCTTGCAGCCAATCAGCCGCAGTCACTGGTCAGGTATTCTGACAGCTGCGGATGCTGGCTGTCAGAATACAATAACCTAGCGGGTAGGGGGGTAAACAGCCTGGATGGAGGAATCTGTTATAAATTAAAGACGTATAAGGGTACGTCCACACCAGATGTTCATTGCATTGTGGCCGGCTCACTTTTTTTGTGGGGCAGGAGGGGGCGTGGCGGGCCATTGAAGTGAATGGCACAGTAGCCACGCTCGCCGGCCGCAATGCAATCGCATGCGGTGCGCTGCGATGCTTGCAGCATTTTGATCGGACCGCAGGCACAATGTGCCTTGCGATCCCATGCGGGTGATCGCATTGCGAGGCTACAGTTCCATTCACTTTAATGGCCCGCCATGCCCCCTCCTGCCCCACAAAAAAGTGAGCTGGCCACAATGCGATGGAGTGCGTTCCGGCCAGAATCGGACCGGAACACAATGCATCTGGGGTGAATGTACTCTTAGTGTATGGTCATGTCAAGTCTGGATGTTGTGGCAAATGTCTCCACCCCGAATATGAAACACAGAATTAAAGACCAGAACCGTGTATTATACTATCACTTTGTCAGACT